ATGAATTCCTACTCTTTGCTTGCAGGCTGTGAGGCTCCCAGCTCCGTGCTTCCCTCCTGAGCACATCAGGACAATCTGGAGGAAATCAGGCGTGCGCTGCCGCGGAGCAAAGCCCTTTTTCGCGAAAGGCTGGCGTGGAGCTGCGGTCTGCAAGGCCGCTGGGGGTAGAAAACGTTGTGAGCAGAGAAACCGATGGCAGCTTTTGTAGCATGCAGCGCAAAATAGCACGGGCCGCGGGGGTATAGCTCAGTGGTAGAGCATTTGACTGCAGATCAAGAGGTCCCCGGTTCAAATCCGGGTGCCCCCTCATTTTCTTTTTCTTTTTCTTATTTCCACTCTCCTGCTTTCTGCCTTTTAGAAGAAAGAAGGATTTCTCACCCAAATTTTCTCTGATTGCTCGGCAGCCGTTCCCGGTGCCCGCGGCGCACTCTGGGCTACGGGCGCAGCCCGCGGAGAGCGCGGAGAAACGCCTGCAGGGGGCGACGGCTCCTCGCCGTCCCTCGTCACGTGATATTTACCACGTGATCCTCCACCGTCACGTGACGCAGGCCGGCTTCGCCACGTGACGTCCGCCGGGGAGGTTCCATTTCCCAGCGTGCCTCGCGCGCCTCCGTCTCTTCCGGCGCCAAGATGTCGAAGCGAGGTGAGGCGGGGCGCTGGGCCTGGCCGGGATCCGGTTCCATCCGCCGCTCTGCGTGTGCGGGCGCCGCGGCGAGGGGCGTGGAGGATGCTGGGGGTCCGGAGCACTGCGTGGGCCCGGGCTCGGCCGGCAGCGGTGTCAGGCCCGCCCAGCAGCGCGGGCCGCACCCGGTGTCCCGTAGCCCATCCAGGCGCTCAGCTCTGCCGGCTCCCCCCCGCCCCGCAGCACCTCCGCGCCGCCCGGTGGTGACCTCACGGCTCTCCTCTGCCCGCAGGACGCGGAGGTTCCTCTGGAGCGAAGTTCCGCATCTCCCTCGGTCTCCCCGTGGGAGCCGTGATTAACTGCGCTGATAACACCGGTGGGTGCCCCGCTGCGAGTGGGTCTGGGGGGACCCTGCGGGGGTGTGGGGTGAGCTGTAAGGCAGGGAGCTGGGGGTGCGTCTGGAGATGGTCCTTTTCCAGCTGAAAATCGTTCACCAGGGCTGTGCTGTACAGGCATCACTATGGGATGAAGTGGCAACCTGTGCTGTTTGCCTCATGGGGTGATGGGGTGGTTGGAGTCCCTGCAGGCGCGGCATCTCGGCACAGATCCGGAGCTCTTCTCTCCACAGGTGCCAAGAATCTGTACATCATCTCTGTGAAGGGGATCAAGGGCCGCCTGAACAGACTGCCAGCAGCCGGCGTGGGTGACATGGTGATGGCGACTGTCAAGAAGGGCAAACCGGAGCTGAGGAAGAAGGGTGAGCGTGGGCAGGAGCAGCCGGGCCTGCAGTGCCTGCGTGGCGCTCCTCAACCCACACTTGATTGTAGCAACAGGCAGCTCCTGCTGAGTCTGGGAGCGCTGCAGTGTCCTCCCAGGGGGCAGAGGAGCAGGTCTTGCATTATATCTGCCTAGGAAGGCATCAGAAGGCAGATGTCTGCCCGCTTGCAGGAGCGTTTGCTCCGCCCTTCTCAAAAGCACTTGTTGGGTCTGTGCGCCGTGGCTCAGTGAGTTGTCGTGGAAGGGCAGAGAAAAGCATCGCTTTTGGGTGAAGTGGCAGCTTGTGCTGTTCGTTTCAATCAGTGATGTGACACGGCCTTGGGAATTGGGTTCCTTACCCCCTCCTCCTGCTTGCTGAGTGCTGTCTCTGAGCTGACACACTTAGAAGCACAGTTGAGAAACTGGAAGAGCGTTGTCTTCTCCAAGTCTGGATTTAGTTGTCAGTTTGGAAGTGCCTTATTGCCTTCAGAATTCGTCCCTGGACCCCACAGGCATCAGCTCTGCTCTGTCAGTGTGATGCCAGCAAGGCTGATGTGAGTTATGAGCTGTATGCCCAGATGTAACCAAGGAAGTTTAATACATCCTGCGAGAGGAATGCTGAAAAGCTGGGAATAGAGCGACTGAGGAGTCAGCCTTGCTGATCCTATCCCTGCATTGGGGCTGTGAACCCAGGGTGTAACTCAGCTTCCTAGAGAAGCACTGCGAAGGGGAGCTCGGTGTTGGGATGAGCTGCTGACTGCTGGGAGCGATGCTGATGAACGCTGACCTGCTGTGTCTCTTGGCAGTGCACCCAGCGGTGGTGATTCGGCAGCGGAAATCGTACAGAAGAAAAGATGGGGTGTTCTTGTATTTTGAAGACAACGCGGGAGTAATAGTGAACAATAAAGGTGAAATGAAAGGTATGGGCAAGCAGAATGCTGCTCCGGGCCAAAGAGAAACGTTGGCTGTGATGGCTGGGGTTGGTGCGCTCGGTTAAAGGGCTCTGCTCACCTGCACCAAGGACCCGGGAGAACACAACTGTGCCGACTGAGCTCTGATGTCCTGCTTTGTTCTTCTCTCCTCCAGGTTCAGCCATCACAGGCCCTGTGGCCAAGGAGTGTGCAGATCTGTGGCCCAGGATAGCCTCCAATGCAGGAAGCATTGCGTGAACGCGCTCATCTTTGTGGAGATGAAATAAAAGTACTTGTACCAGAAAATGGTGTCTGCCTTGTTAAGAGTCAGGCGTGCTCCTCTGCCAAGCACGACAGCGTTGAGGGAATTATTTCAGGTTTGGGAAATCCTCCATGAAACCCCAAATGAGGGTGGGCACAGCGGGAGGAAATTGGCTGTGGAGGTTAAGATCTGGTGATTAGTCTTAATGAGGCAGAGCCCTCAGCACCTGGAGGGTGCTGTACTGTGACAGATCCTGTGATGACTGAATTGATCCAACTTCTGTGTGCAGTGATGAAAGCTGGGAGATCTGAAAGCCCTTCTACAAAACCTGTCTGTGCCTCTCTTGTGATGAAACCCCCCCACGCAGTTTGTGTGGCAAACTGAAACGATTTCTTTGGTCCTTGCTGAGGACGATGCGAGGACACATGAAGCCCACTGCTGTTAGCTGAGGTGGGGGCTGCAGCACGTGCCTCAAAGCCTCAATCAGCAGTGAAACAAATGATCGGGTCTCTGGCTAACGGCAGGTTGGGGGATGATGTGATTTTTCCAGGTCATCTGAAAGGCTTTGCAAGAGATTTGTGGAGACAAAAGCTTTGCCTGAAAAAATGGCGTGGATGTTTCTGAACAGCTTTTCTCCTGCTTGGTGGGAAAACGTGATAAAAATGTGGCCTACAGCCCCTGGATCACCATAAGCTGCACAGTGAGTGGGGAGGGGACTTGGGTACGGTGAGCCCAGCTCCTGCTCCAGGTTTCCATGGGGCAGCTGAGGAGTTGCTGCCTCTTCCTAGCAGACCTGATGCCCTGTGAGCATCCAGCAGCTGCTGCAGGCAATGCTGCATTGCTCCTTGAGGAGTGACTTTTGCAGTCAGCAGACACCTGCTTACAAGTAAGGAACAAGCCCTAAAATGTGCCCTCACTAATGTCTGCTCACAGCTGCTGTGTTTAATTCTTTTTTTTTCCCCTAGACAGGACATGGCACAAATTAGCTGTAAGACATTGGATGTTTGCTTCCTTTTTCCCCAGGCTGTAGGCAGACAGCAGGGGAGGCGGGGAGGCTGTGGACAGTGCAGGAGGCGTGGAGTGAGGCAGCAGCTGTGGGAGATTTGTGTGCTGAGAGCAAACAGAAGCAAAGGTGGGCGCCTCCACAGCTGTCCTGAGGCGGCTGGTGCCACGTGTTGTTGTTTGTGCGTTGAGACAAAGCAAGCAGGGATGTCAGTGGTTTGTTCCTGCAAGGGTTTGCAAGCATAGGAAGCAGAGAGGAGGTGAAGGTTAAGGAAAGGGATGCTGTGTGGGAGGCGGGGCTGGGAGTGCAGGCAGTGGAATGCAGCAGCGCCTCTGTCAGCGTCCACAAAGGGCCTCACCTGGCAGGTGGTGCCCAGCGGGGGTATAGCTCAGGGGTAGAGCATTTGACTGCAGATCAAGAGGTCCCCGGTTCAAATCCGGGTGCCCCCTCCCCTTGGCCTCTTTTTTTCTGCCCCACAAGTTGCTTTTCAGCTTCTCAGCTGCCTCTTTCTCCCCTCAGCTGTCGGCCCTGCTGTCCCTTGGTGAGCGCAGCAGCGCCCAGGTGCCAAGAGGTGGATTGCCGTGGGAAGAGGACTGGCAGCGCTGTGTTGGTGAGCACAGACCTGAGATTGCCTTGAGCACTGCTTTCTGCACTGCAATAATTGGCACTGCATAATTGAATTGACTCCCGTTTGGAATGAGTCGGAAAATTGAGGCCGGGCAGGCAGGCAGCAGCAGGGGGTATAGCTCAGTGGTAGAGCATTTGACTGCAGATCAAGAGGTCCCCGGTTCAAATCCGGGTGCCCCCTTGGGCTGTTATTTTTCTCAGGATACTTAAAGGACTGGGAGTTGTGATAAGCACAGTTTGATCATTTTTACCTCCCTGTAAGGCCAATGAATATGGCTCTGTGTCTCCAGGAAGGGTTATTCTGTTCCTTTTTGGAAGGGCTGCATCTTTTTAAAGTGAGGCTTTTCTCTCCAGCCTTGTGGTGAGCTCAGCTCGATGCTGGTTTTCACATTACAGAACAGCACAGAAGTGATGGCCAAAATTGTTTCAAATAAATGTCCTCTGGGAGTCTGGTGACTCTTGGTAGCAGCTCTCTGTAGAAGGCAGTGTGAGTTTTTGGACACCCAGGGATGCATGAAGTGAAGGATTCTAAGCAGCTGGGATCAACTCTGAGCTCTGGGCATAGATTGCTTAAGAATCAGCTTGTGCAGGTGCTGCTTCAAGGGGGTGTAGCTCAGTGGCAGAGCATTTGACTGCAGATCAAGAGGTCCCTGGTTCAACTCCAGGTGCCCCCTTTGGATTGGGTGCTTTTTCTGAGATAAACACAGGCAGCATTCCTTGTTTTTAGACCCTGTCTGCCTGCACTTTGCACGGAGAGCCAGCCGCTCTGTCCACATCTGTGTTTTTGACGCTGATCAACTGAACACACACCAGTCAAAATGAATATTTGCATCAGTATTGCTTTTTTTGTTGTTAATGCAAATGCACAGTGCAATTCTCACCGTCTGTAATTGCTTATCATGTGAATTAGGAATCAAAGAAAGCTGATCTATAGGAACTGTAACAGCAGACATAAGTGGTCTCTGTGCGTGTTTTTAGTGCTCCTTGGCCAGGTGCTGCAGCAGGGGGTGTAGCTCAGTGGCAGAGCATTTGACTGCAGATCAAGAGGTCCCTGGTTCAACTCCAGGCGCCCCCTCTTTACCTTCCTTTTCCAACCTTCTTCCAAAATCCTTTGCAGACCAAACGTGGGAGTGCCCTTATTCCTCTGAGATCTTACAAATCTCTTGCCTCTTACCAGCTGCAGAGTCTCAGTTTTTCCTTTTTTTCCTGTGGTTTAGCTCAACAATTCATGTATATACAAACAACTCGATGCTAGTGGGAGGAGGAACATCTTGTTTTTCCTGTCTGAATAATTACCATTAATTATACAGGAAGCAATAAGCACAAGGCCGTTCAACGAAAAGGGACCTGAAGTGGTTTTTGGAGGCAGCTGGAGTGGGAGGGGCAGCGTTCAGCCCGGGCCGGGAGCCGCAGCCAAGCGCTGCCCTCCGTGCCCCGGAGGGGATCGAACCCGGATCCCCGCAGCCGCAGGCAGCCGCTCTGCCCCTGAGCCACGCCCCAGCGCCGGGCCGCCCCGGGCGCGCACTTTCGCGGGCTCACGTAGCCTAGGGGCAAAGCGCCGGGCTAGGAGCCGGGAGGTCACCGGTTCTAAACCCGCACCGAGCGGGAAGTTTTGCTCGGAGACACCGCGCTTCGTTACAGACCTCCGGGAAACGGGAGTGAGGACGGCAAAGCGAGCGGCCTGTAGCTCCGGTCATCGCTGCGACCGCGGCGCGTTGAACTCAGCACCATTAAACGTGTGCATTTACCTCGGATTTATCTCACGTCACTGCTTCATTTTTATTTTTCTTTTCCCGGTGAGAACCGGAACCGCAGCGAGGCGCCGGGGCCAGCAGGACTCCGGTTGTTTCTATCCCCGTCATCCTGCCGAAGTGACGCCTCCAAAGAGCGCCGCGCGGAACGGGCGGGATGGCGGCGCGTGTTGATGACGTCACGGCACTTCCGGTTCATGCCCTCGGGCTTCAGGCCGTCCTTAAGGGCCCTGCGGGGTCGATGCGGGGCTGCGGCTGCCGCCTCTGCGCGGTGCGGGGACGGTGTGGAAGCGTGAAGCCGGTGGGGAAAGTGGTGGAGCTGCGGTGGTTTGCGGGGGGAGAAGGCGCTGAGGGTGCGGGCGTTGCCAGGTGAGGGGCGATGGGCTCCCAGGGTGGACTCGGGGAGTTTGGGGGGAAACCTGCGGCCCTGTGGCGGCTGTAACGGCCTCGGTCTGCGGCGCAGGGATGCTTCCTCTTAATAAGCGCGGGCGCTGTGTCGGAGGAGGCTCGTGACTCATTTTTCCTGTTTTTAATTAAGTGCTGGCCGTGGTATTCCTTAGCTGTGATGCATTTGCTGCTGGCATAAAACGTGTGTATATTAACATAAAGTTCTGCCTTTTATGCTCAATGTTTGCACTTGCTCACCCATAGTGCCTTTAACTTTAGGACTCTGGCATAGAGGAAAAGAAAGTCAGCTGTGTGTACTAAAGCTTCTGAGGTGGGCTTAACTTGCGAGATTCCTGCGTGCTCCCCCCTCCAGTTACTCCTTTAAGTGCTGCTGAGGATCTCGTAGGAAAGCAGCATCCGCACTGCTGCACATTCAAACAGTAGATGACCTCTTTTCAGCCTTATTTCTCCATGTCACCCTGTTCCAAATTGCTGTAGGATGCAACGCTTTGAAATGGTTGGCAGAAATCTGCTTTTTTGCAAAAATTGGCTCTTTCCCTCAGGTTTATGCATAGTTAGCTCTCTGTCACTGAAGGCTTTCAAACCTCACCTTTTGTTCTTTCTCACATTGCCTGCAGCAAAATGCTCGGACATCCAGAGAGTGGTGGGCAGTGGATTAATTCTGTAACTAAGGGGCAGAACAGAGGCACTTTAACAGCAGACATCTGGGTGTTGCAGGTACGTGTCCACCTCGCACCTCTACAGAAGGGCTTACTTGGAGTCGAATGCTTTGCTTGAGGAAAAAGAAGTCATGTGAAAAACCTTTTTTTCCCTACACAGGGCATGGCACAGCAGTTAGCTGTAAGAGGTTGGGTGTTTGCTTCCCTTTAACCCGGGCTGAAGGCAGACAGCAGGGGAGGCTACAGGCAGTGAAGGAGCCGCAGTGTGAGGCAGCAGCTGTGGGAGATTTGTGTGCTGAGAGCAAACAGAAGCAAAGGTGGGTGCCTCCACAGCTGTCCTGAGGCGGCTGGTGCCACGTGTTGTTGTTTGTGCGTTGAGACAAAGTAAGCAGGGATGTCAGTGGTTTGTTCCTGCAAGGGTTTGCAAGCATAGGAAGCAGAGAGGAGGTGAAGGTTAAGGAAAGGGATGCTGTGTGGGAGGCGGGGCTGGGAGTGCAGGCAGTGGAATGCAGCAGCGCCTCTGTCAGCGTCCACAAAGGGCCTCACCTGGCAGGTGGTGCCCAGCGGGGGTATAGCTCAGGGGTAGAGCATTTGACTGCAGATCAAGAGGTCCCCGGTTCAAATCCGGGTGCCCCCTCCCCTTGGCCTCTCTTTTTCTGCCCCACAAGTTGCTTTTCAGCTTCTCAGCTGCTTCTTTCTCCCCTCAGCTGTCGGCCCTGCTGTCCCTCCGTGAGCACAGCAGCGCCCAGGTGCCAAGAGGTGGATTGTCATGGGAAGAGGACTGGCAGCGCTGTGTTGGTGAGCACAGACCTGAGATTGCCTTGAGCACTGCTTTCTGCACTGCAATAATTGGCACTGCATAATTGAATTGACTCCTGTTTGGAATGAGTCGGAAAATTGAGGCCGGGCAGGCAGGCAGCAGCAGGGGGTATAGCTCAGTGGTAGAGCATTTGACTGCAGATCAAGAGGTCCCTGGTTCAACTCCAGGTGCCCCCTTCATGTGGTGGACTTTTTTCTAGAGTAGAATCACGAGGAGCATTCCTTCTTTTGTCTGCTTGTGCATTTATTTCACAGTGCTGCTTTCCAAAATTCCATATTTGTGACACTGAGCGTCCATCTAAGGATATAGAGCCCAAATCAGCGTCTGTGTCAGTGTAAAGGCTACAGTGGTTGTTGGATCAGTGTGGAAGCTGGACAGGTCCTAACCTGTGTGATATCTGTTTGGTGTGGCTGTCTGTGATTCTGGTTGTCTGGGCTCTGTGAATTGGTTTCTTAATGCTCCTTGTTCAGTTCTTGAGCCAAGGGGGTGTAGCTCAGTGGCAGAGCATTTGACTGCAGATCAAGAGGTCCCTGGTTCAACTCCAGGTGCCCCCTCTTTATCTTCTTTTCCCAACTTCCTTTTGCCACAATTCATCACAGGGAGCAGATGCACACGTCCTCTTCAGTCTCGTGAGCTTGCGCTGTGTGTTGAAGTTGTGATATTCGAGATCCTGAGCAGCTGCCTGGCAGGGCTTCTGCACTGCGTGAGTACACTGCGTGCATTTGTCTGTTCTTGATCCCCTGTAATAACTCCCTCCTGTATTGTGGGATGTATGCAGGTAGGCCCAGGGGCTGTCGAGTAAGGGAATCTAAACAGTGGACATCAATCAACTCCAGGTGCTTTGAATAAACTTGTTTAAAAAATCACCTTGTGCAGGCGCTGCTGCGAGGGGGTGTAGCTCAGTGGCAGAGCATTTGACTGCAGATCAAGAGGTCCCTGGTTCAACTCCAGGTGCCCCCTTCAGTTTTTATTCAAAGATAAATATGCAGAGCATTCCTCTTTGCTTTTTTTCTTTTTCTTAGATCTGTTTGCCTGCTCTCTGCTCTGAGGGCTGGTCTCTCAACTTCCATCTTCATAACACTGAGAACTCATCTAAACATGCATGCTCAAATCAGTGTCATGCAAAAGAATCTGACCAGTGGACATCAAAACTAAGCTGTCTATAGGTTCCTTTTTTCCTCTGTGTCTTTTATAGTTCTTAAGCAAGGGGGTGTAGCTCAGTGGCAGAGCATTTGACTGCAGATCAAGAGGTCCCTGGTTCAACTCCAGGTGCCCCCTTTGGATTGGGTGCTTTTTGTTTGGTCGATTGTTCCTCCCCAGGGTAAATATGAAGAGTGATTCTCCTCGCTTTTAGGTCCTGTGTGCTTCTGTTTTGCTCACAGGCCTGATCCCTGAACGTCCCTGTTCAAGATGCTGAGCGCTCACCTGAGGAATTATGACCACACTTCTGCTTTGTCTACTTGTTTTTCATTGCTCTTTGTCTACTTGTTTAGCCAGGGGGGTGTAGCTCAGTGGCAGAGCATTTGACTGCAGATCAAGAGGTCCCTGGTTCAACTCCAGGCGCCCCCTCTTTACCTTCTTTTCCAACCTTTTTTCTTCCCAAGTCCTTCATAGACACGATCCTTATTCTTCAGAGGTCTTCAAGATCACTTGTACCAAACTTCTAACAAAAGAAAAGAAAAGCTTTCCAGTTTTCCCATGGTTCTGAGCAACACGCATACAGGCAAATAGCACAGTGCAGTAGAGACGATGCAGGTCTAGTTTTTCCTGCCTGAGCAATTGTTGCTAATTGAAGTAATTTCTAGAAAGCCGCATACTCCATGTATGACAGGTGTCTCTGCCCCCGCGGGGATCGAACCCGGCACCGCAGCAGCCGCAGGCAGCGGCGCTGCCCTTGAGCCACGCCCCCACCACTGAGCCGCCCCAAAGCCGCGTTTCGCGGGCTCACGTAGCTCAGGGGCAAAGCGCCGGGCTGGGAGCCGAAACGTCCCCGGTTCTAAGCCCGCACCGAACGGCGCGGAACCCCGCTCGCGTCCTCGAGTTTTCGCTCGGCGACGCCGCGGTTCGGTGCGAAGCCCTGGGGAACGGGGTGACAACGGCAAACAGCGGCCTGCAGCTCCGGTTATCGCTACAACACGCCGTAGCACTAGGCGCCGCCCGCCTCCTCCTATCCCTTCGGTAAGACCGTTAAGCGCCGCGCCGGAAGTGACGTATATCACACGCGACGAGTTGAGAGGAGACGGCGGCGCATGTTGATGACGCACAGCGGGCCCAGTAGCCGAGGAGAAGCCGAGCAGCCATGGGGGGAGGCGACTTGGTGAGATGGGGCCCGGGATGCGGGGGGGGACCGGGAGCTTCCTCCAGGCCGCTGGGATCCCGCTGACGGCTCCGAGGCCGGGGCCGTCCTTTGAGCTGTTCGCGGCGGGGCCGGGCCTGGCGCTGCGGCCCTGCTCGGTGAGAGAACGTCAGGGGCCTTCGGTAAGGGGCCCTGTGCCGCGTCCCGCGTTCCTTGCAGAACCTGAAGAAGAGCTGGCACCCCCAGACCCTGCGCAATGTGGAGAAAGTGTGGAAGGCCGAGCAGAAATATGAGGCCGAGAGGAAGAAAATCGAGGAGCTGCAGCGGGAGCTGCAGGAGGAAAGGGCCCGAGAGGAGATGCAGCGATATGCTGAGGATATGGGCACTGTGCGGTGAGCAGAGCCAGGGCCTGAGCGTGGGGCTGCCGGTCCGGGCAGGGGGAGGACCGGTGCTTCGTATTGAAGGGGGTCCATGTGCTTCTGGTATCTCTGAGAAACAGAAATTTGTACATCGAATTTATAATTTCACACTAGAAGCTTTCCACTTACTTCATAAGCTTTAAACTGCAGCTTAGCTTTATACCTCTGTGACAGAAAATATGATGACTTGTTTTGCAATAGGAAAAGAGAAGAAAAGTTGGAGTGGATGTACCAGGGTCCTGGGGGCATGGTGAACAGGGAGGAGTATCTCATGGGTCGCCCTGTGGACAAGTACGTCTTTGAGAAGACAGAGGACAAGGATGCTGGCTGCTCCAACGAGACAGGACTGCTCCCAGGCTCCATTTTTGCCAAGTCAGGTGCCAACTCTGTCCTGGACATGGCAAACAAAATCCGGGAGGATCCACTTTTCATGATCAGGTACTTAACGTGGAGCTGAATACTGGAATAAATCAGAATAAATCAGGCAATGCAGCAGTGATGGCAGCTTGATGAGAGCTGTTTTATTGGTGGGAAGTGTGCGTGCAAATGCAAAGGTTGTTTTTCTTTGTTATATATATACATATATACTCATATATAGGCTCATATATACAAACTTAGGTCACCCTTTTGTATGTGTGAGAATGCATCTGGTTGGCAGCATTGGAGCAAAATAGATGTTAACAGAACGAAAATTTGGCTTAATTTCCTCGTTGCACTCTTCAGTGGGGGGGAAAAGGACACAGTTTGCAGGAGTTGGACTCACGTTGCTGAATGAACAAAAGTTGGCTGTTAGAGCTTGTTTTAGTGTTGTATCTTTCATGAAAATGATGTTTAGAGTTGCTTGGAAATACTAATACTCTTCTTCCATCTGCTTTAGAAAGAGAGAGGAGGAGAAGAAGAGAGAGGTTCTGAATAATCCTGTAAAAATGAAGAAGATCAAGGAGTTGGTGGGTGACTCCATCGCGCTCTGTGGGTCTGTGCCGGGCCTTGCTGGGCTTTCTTTTGTCCCAGGAGAACTCCATTGCTTTGCCTTTTGATACTGACTGCCCAAGTGCAGGGACAGTAATTACTGCTAATCAATTGGTGCCTTTCTTTGTAGCTGCAAAACAGTTTAGATAAAAAGGAGAAAAAGAAGAAGAAAGAGAAGAAGAAGAAGCACAAGAAGCACCGGCGTCGCAGCTCCAGCAGTGAAAGTGCCAGCAGTGATGAGGAGCGAAGCAAAGCCAGGTAGGTTTTATTGTCTTTATTGTCTCGTTTGTTTTTCATCTGTTTCTGATCTTCTTTGAATCTCATCTTTCTAATTAATGCTCTTAATTTGCTTAAATATTACTGTATTGGTACTTTTGTTTTTTGCATCGGTGATTGATTTTTGTTGTTTTAATAAGCAAAGCATAGCATCGCTGAAGTTCATCTGCTTCAAAAGCACTGTTCTCTTTTTTGTTTAGGTCTCAGAAGAAATCTAGCAGCTCCTCCTGGAAACCCATTCCTTCTAAAGTGCCAGGATATGGCTTACAGGTAAGTCTGGCTGTTTTGCATGTCTCTTTCAGTAGCAAACTGAAAGACTTGTTGGTTAGAGAACAGCAAAAGATCGGCTTGTTGCAAGAGGCTGCTTCTCCCGTTAGAAGAGGGCTGTGAGGGATACATGATTTTACATGATTTAACATGGTTTAACAATGCTCCTTGGTGCCTCTGAGCCCTGACCTGAAACTCTTCAGGTCCCAGTAGGACTTCTGTCCTCTCTGAGTTCAGTTCAGTTTTAATTCCCTTCCCAGAGCCACACGCCTGTTTCAATGTTGCATCTGATTGCCATAGCGGTTGCTTTACTGAGCACCACCAAAATGATCTTTTTAGACAGAGGTGCTCATAGGAACCTGGGAAGTGAGACAAGTGAGTGCAGAGCAAAATGTTCACTGCCTGCAGCCCAGCCTGAGGCTTCTGCAGCCTCGCTGTGTTGTGATGCTCTCACAGGACGTCTCTCCTGAGGGGCACTTCTGGATTTCAGGTTAGAGACTCTGACAGGAACCACAGATCTCGGAGTTCTCCAGCTGCTGGGCAGGGCAGAGCCTCCCACAGGCACCGCGAGCGCTCCAGGTCCAGGAGCACATCCCACTCCCCACAGAGATGCACGAACAAGAAGAGCTCAGAGCAATTTGGATGCAGGGGGTCGAGATCTCCTTCCAGACACAGTAAACAGTGAGTGTGGCTCAGCTGGGTAACACGAACTGCAAGCTGCAGGGGGGAGGGGATGTTCAGATCAAAATCCCTGCTAAAAAATCCAGGTAAAGCTTAGGGATGTGATAATATGTGTATATCTCCTAAAAATAAGGGTGGTTTTGGGTTGCAGACATAGCAGTCGAGAGGAGAAAGGGAAAGCTGGAAGTCCTTCCCCCAAAAAGAGCTATCGGCGACAGCACCTTCCAGGTTACACCAGGTGAGCAAAATCTCTGCATGTTTTTGTGAAGCAGCTGCTGTCATCTGTGCACCAAATCTTGCTCTGTTGTCTGGAACGGGCTGTCAGGCATCCAGAAGGGCAGCGCACTGTTCTGAAGTGCTTGGTTTGATCCCAGCTCTTGAGCTCAGTTGTCAGCTAACAGCCTCCCAAACCTCGTGGAATGGTTGTGATTCCCTGCGTGCCTCACGGTGGGGTGAAATCAGGCTTTGTCTCCTGGGTTAATTAAAAGCCTGCTGTTTAACTGCCGGCAGGAAACTTTGGTCTTGACAGTATCATCAATTAAAACAGAAAAGCTGAAAAGGGGAAGCCAAGCTCTTGCTGGAGTTGTTTGGCTGTTTAGACTTGTACTAAAAAACTTTGGGTGCTGAAGGAAAAGCAAGTATTAAACAGCCCCAATTTTGGGGATAAATAGTCTTGAAGATTGGAAAGGAAGAGCTGGGTTGGGTGTAGCACGCTGCTGGTTTACAGCAGTGCTGTTTTCTGTACCTACAGAAAGATCTCTCCAGAGGAACTGGAGCGAAAACGGCAGGAAATGATGGAAAACGCCAAGTGGAGGGAAGAGGAGAGGGTGAACAACCTCAAGAAGCACCGGAAGGAGGAGGAACTGGAGAGAGAACTGGAGAAACTCGACTCTGGGGATGGAAAGTTCTTGCAGTGAGTGCCTTGGTGGGGTTCATTTTTTCACTGGTGGGAAGTGCAGGGCGCAGCTTCTCAGGAGTGTGTGATGGCATCGAGGTTTGAGATGAGAATACCGAGCACCCACCTGAAATACAGCATTGGATCTGTTAGAAGCCAAACTAAAGGCTGGTCGGTTCTTTGGGTGCAGACTTTGATATGGAATCATTTGCTGCTTTCCAGTTTAGAATCGCGTAGTTAATGGACTCGGGGATAACGAACCCTGCTGGAAACCATGTGATGTTTGGAAGAGATTGATTTCTTTCCTTTTGTTGTTTTTCCTGCAGTCACTTTAAGCTGGAAAGTGCTTCTACTTCCACTTTAGAAGATCGGGTGAAGCGGAACATCCACTCCCTTCAGAGAACTCCTGCTGCCTTGGAAAAGAACTTTATGCAGAGATGAAGCTTGTTCTCCCTCTGCTTCTGTGCAGGAGTAAATTGGACCCTTGTTCCCCAAGGTGAGAGGCCTCCAGCACACGCTCAGTTCTCTCTCCAGGAACCATCTCCCAAAGAGCTGCTGAATTTCTGTGCTGCAGCCCACAGCGTGGTCTGAACTTCTGGCACTGTCAATGTGTTTGTGATGAGGATGATCCCTCAGGCAGACCTCAGCTGGAGAGCTCGTGAGCCCTTGTATCCTGCAGCACGTTGCCAGATCTCTTCCTGTTCTCCACCCTGATTCGTACCGGTTTTGTATATTGTTGTTATTAGATGATGCTGGGTGATAATTGCTTCCTACACTGGGCAGGTTATCTGCACTCTTTATTTGTAAGAGCAAAAGACCTATTTTTGTTAGTCCTTAAAAACCAGAGCAGGACAAATTCACGTGAGGTGAGCGGATGTGATAAAGCTGTGTGATGGACTGATGCCGTTCTGCTTGACTGCCATCGTTCTGCTGTGGGTTTGGAGGGAGAGGTCAGACCAGTCTGTAAAATATCTTCTATAGCCATTATTTTATTCCTCTCACCTATCTCAATGATGTTTGGCCCGAGGGGAGCAGCTTCACAGGGAAAGGAAATGAGCAGAGCAGAACTGATGCAGCAAATATCTCTCTGGGATTTTGTAATGTAAGTAATGTGTATATGTACAGCGGTGAAGATTGTTTTGCCTTTTTTTTTTTTTTTTTTAAAGGAGAAACTTTACGATTTTCAAATGTTTTTTGGTGGCTTTGTGGGGGCGAAGGTGTCGGATTCGCTGCCACAGCGGCTGACGGACCGAGGGCTGCGTGCGGCCGCCGGCTCTGTGCGCGGAGCTGCGCGCTGCGGGCCCTTTAAGAGGCGGCAGTGACGTGCTCAGCGGCCCATTCATAATTCCAGGCGCCTCGTCGTTTATTGGCTCGCTCGGAAAGGGGCGTGGCCTGGGTTGCTACGTCACTCGGGGTGGGCGAAACCATCTCCGCACAGAGGGGGAGGGAGGTGCCTTTGTTTCCGCTTTCCCTCTCGTTCCGCCCGCCGCTCCAGCCGGTCGCCCTCGCAGCCTTGGCCGCGTTCCGTTTTTTCCCTCCCCTCCGCGCGCTGTGGCGGAGCGAACCGACGCTCGGCGCCGCGCTGCCCTGCCTGCATCCCTCGGCTCTCCCCCATGGGGCGCGGCCATGGTACCTCCCCGTCCCCTCCTCCTCCGCCTTCCGCCATCTTGGCGCCTCCTTAGAGCGGCGCCTGAGCGCTCGGCCGGCGGTGGAGCGAACCACCGCAGGGGCGGGGAAAGGGGGGGGAGGGAGGCGGGGACGGAACAACCGCCGCGGGGAGAGCGAGCTGGGAGCGGAGCGGCCGAGCCGGCCCTAGGGGTGACAGAGGCGGCCGGAACCGCTGAGAGCGGAGGGGCGTGCGCCGGGCCGGGCGGTGCCATGCGGAGGCGCTGGTAGGGGAGCGCCGGGGGAGGGGGGCTTTGCGGGGCCGTTCGGAGGCAGCCATGGCCTCGAATTGCGCGGGGGGATCGGCGGCGGGGAGCGGCGGAGCGGCTCTGGGTTCGGCACTCAGCGCCAGCAAAACCAAGACCAAGAAGAAACACTTCGTGTGCCAGAAGGTGAAGCTGTTCCGGGCTTCGGAGCCGCTGCTCAGCGTCCTCATGTGGGGGGCCAACCATACGGTGAGCAGCGGGCGGAACCCCCACCTCACCCCCCCTTTCCCTCCCGTCGGCGCAGAGCCTTCACCCCAGCGCCCTGCCTGCCGCAGGGGCTCGGAGGTGAATCCTCCTCGGCCCCGCTGCCCCTTTCTACCCCCGTCCCATTGCAGCCTTTCCCCCGGGCGCTGCCCCCCGGCACTCCTCTCCCCCGTTTCCCCGATGCCATTTGGGATAACGGCCCTTCCCGTAGGATGCTGTCTGTGGTCCAGGCGTGCATAGCTGGGAGCAGCCCCCCAGGGCAACCCTTATCACCAATCCCTGCTCTTCAATCCTAGGGCCAGATCTTAGTGAGGGGGCTGGGGGTGGGCCCTGGGGGAGCGATGTGTCCCACAGCTCCATCCTGTATCATTGGGCCCAATTTGCCCGGCCTTGAATCGCTTTGACTCCCATCTTTCTGCTGGCCGTGCCACATCTGTGTGTTCCTGAGCTGGTCTGTTTCCCCCCAAAGCCCCAGGATGGAGCGAGGAGCTGCTCTGTGGGAACGGCTCAGCACTGCAGCCCACCTCCATTGGAGCTTCCTAAAATCACCCTTCTCTCTTCCTCTGGAAACCTTTCTTTCCTCCATAGCGTAGGCTGGAAGGGCTGCCCTTCCTCTGCGCTCTCTTGGATGTGGGTAATGATGATGTTCAGGTGGTTAAAATTAAGCAACCTCATCCCTTCCTCAATTAACACACCTTCAGGCTCAAAGGCACTCATTTCTTGGCGGATGTCTCCTGGATCCCTTTCCTTCTCTGGGTTTAGCTTTTGCAGGAATAAACAACGCTTTGGGAAAACTAGGATTGTTTTCCTGGCTTTCCTGATGGCGGAGTGAATCTTTCCTGTGTAATTCAGCACTGTTGTCTCTCCGAGCCAAAGGATTTTCCCAGTTCTTGCTGCTCCTCGCCCAAGAAGCGGGGCAATGAGTTGAACTGGGCTTTGATCAGCGATGCCCTTAGGAGCCCTGAAGAAGCAGTGAAGCTGGTAGGGCTTTTCTCTTTCGTTTGTGGCCTCTTAGGGCTGCTGGCTGCCGGCTCGCCCTCTTCTGTGGCTGGTGGGGCAGCCTCAAGTCTTTTTTAGGCTCTGGATCAGGGCCTGCAACTTCAGGACTGTTTGGCTGTGAAATATTTCTGCAAGCTGATAGTTCTCCTTGGTAGCTGTGTCCATGCAGATGGTATCGGGTGCACGTTGTGAAGGAGCTGCTGCCAGAAACGAGGACCGTATCCTGGAGGAGCTGGAAAAGGGTGGAGAACATCTCAGCTGTGACCTCCTCCCCCCCGGTGCAGGCAGCAGGGATTCCCCAGCTCCCATTCCTGCAGCTCGGTTTGCAGTGGTGAGCAGCCGAGGGTTGGAGCAGGGCAGGCTGTGAGCCAAACTATTTGTGTTTGCTCAACACACGAGCAGCTGTTCATCCCGATCTGCTCCCAAGAGATGCTGCTGGTGCCCTGCTCCTATGGAAGGTGGGATTGCTTTTTGTTCTTCAAGCAAACTGCTCCGGGCAGCTGATGGGTGTTTTCAGGAGTGCCTTTGAACCTTGTCAGGAATCTGCTGGGGTTGTTTCACGTTTGGTTTCTGGTGCACAGCCTTCCAAAGAGAAGCAGACGCCGAGGCCGTGGGGAGCGCGCTGCTAACAGCACGATTCCGTCAGAAATGCTGGTGGCTGAGATGAACTTTTTCGTGGATAAATCAAACAAACAACCATTTTATGCAATCCACCATCTCTGCTGACTGAAGAAATTCCCCCGGGTCCATTAACAGAGTCTGGCAGCAGCACAGCCCTGCCTTGTGTTTAAACAAGCTTGCTAGCAGCTGGTGCGAGTACAGGCAGCGATGGTCTGGAGAGGATCAGAGCAGTGATGTTAGTGCAGAGCACAGGAACTGCTGTTGGAACACCCATTCGGAGCGTTTCTGTGTGAATTGTGAGTTGGCTCTCTGCTGTCCCAGCGCTCCAGAGCCAATGCTTGAGCTCAGAGCATCACAAGGGTGCGGCTGCGGCCGCTGAAACGCGGCGGGACGTGGGTGGTATCACAGCCAAACCTGGAGCCGGAAAGCCGTGCTTGGGGGAGAGGAGCTGGGAGAACTCGTGCAGATGGGATGGAGCGGAGTCACAAGGGCTCACCTTTGGTTGGCGATGTTTTCTTTGAGCTCCGAGCCCGCGATGTGGAACTCGGCGAGCTGGAGACGGCTCCTGGGGAAGCTTTGCCTTGTCTGCTGTTGTCATGGTGCTGGGAGAGGCGGCTCCGCGTGGAGCTCTGGTGGCAGAGGGAAGGTCGGGTGGTGCTGGGAGGGAGCAGCCATCTCGGAAGCACGGAGATGAAGGCAGCGCTGTTGTGAGATGCTCGGGAAACCATAGAAACGGTTGTAAGGCGCTGGCTGTGCGATGTGCTGGGGTGGAGAGGGCACTGTGCGATGAGCAGGCGGCTGTCTGCGGTGTGACGGTGCTGCTTTGGGGCTGCTGGTCCCGCCGTGCTCTGCGGATGTGCTGGGGATGGCCTTAAAGAAATCCAGTCCTGCTGAGAAGGGCAGAGCTCTGCTGGCGCTGTGGGTCTGCCCCCGGGGGCTCTGGTTGCTGCCGCAGCTCCTGCTGCTCTCCCAGGACCTGCCTGGTGCCAGGCAGCACAACGTGAAGCTCGTTAGTATTCAAAGGAAAGAGCAGCATTGGGATTTGCAGCACGCTTCTCCCTTCTCCTCAGCGTTGTTTTTGGTGTTGCCATGTTAAACTCTAGCCAGAGCAGCATCTGCCACATATCAAATGCTGAAGTGCTATAAATCAGTGCTGGAGCAGGGGATGCAGTCTGTGTTTGGCCTTTCCTGCACTCGCTGTCTGCCCTGGCTCTAATTGACCTCTGGAGAGCACAGCATATGGCAGTAATGGTGATGAGCACCGGTGCTAACGATGGAGCCTGCTGCCTCTGAGCTTCCACAGCCTGGGACCTTCTGTTAAAGCCCAACTCCAGGCTCCTTGTGGTGATGGGGATGTGCTGTGCCCCCTGTACCCACACTGTGCTGCTGCCCAGCAGGCTCCAACACACCTTGAAGAGGTGTTTGCTCTCAATCGGGGCTGCTTTTTTCCTCTTATTGCATGCTGGTCTTCCTAGAGCACCCAAAGAAGCTGTTGGCTGCAAGATTCACCCGTGCCCAGCATTGCGTGGAGGTTCTGTTAGCTCCCATACTGATTAATCATGCCCTACTTCATGGAAAATAGTGGCTTTTTTCCCCCCAGCTGTCCTGTGCTGCAAAGCTTTGCTGCAGGTGTGGCTTTGCTCTGTGCTGAAGTGATTTTTTTGCTGTATGTCTGTTGCCTGCTGCCCTGGGGCATTGTGAACTTCCACCATTCAGAACGCTCTGAGATGCACAGCTGGATGGCATCAAGAGGAGCAAAGTAATTTTACTGTAAAGAATCCTGGAGAGCAGATTCTCACGCTCAAACTAACGAGTTTGGATCTCGTTAGTAAACAAACTGCGTTTTCCCATCAATTTACTGGTGGCAGTTGCTACTTTGAGACTACGGTCAGGTTCTGAAACAAAATCACATTGCAGCAGCATCCCTGAGTGCGTGTGGTATTGAAGAAGGGATTGGCTTTGGTGGCACAGGGGCGTCATAGGCAGATCAACCCAGCACTGTGCAGGCCAGAGCTGAGGATGCCCATCGGTTTCTCTGAAATGTGTCGTGGTTTTAAGTCCTCTGAGCTCTGCTGGGAGCCTCTGTGTGTGAGTTGTGTGCGACGTGAGCCTGTCCAGCTTCTGCTTTTGCTCTGCCTTGCACAGATGGTCCTGTGCGCTGCTGCAGAATGCAGGTGGTGGTGGCACAGTTTGTTCCTTAGCGGTGCTTTCAGCTCAGGGCTGTCTGTGCTGGGGGAACTGAAGGCTCCTGGTGTCCCCAGGCTGCTTTGTAGTTTCTGTGCTCCTCACAGCAGCCTGCAGTGAGTTGATGCTGGTGGGGGTCCGGCTGCTGCTGTCTCTTCCAAGCAAAGAACCAGACCTGAGCTCTCTGCCCATCCTGAGGGCAGCATCAGCTCCAGAGGGGACCTGCACAGCTCCAGGTGTGGGCATTGTGCTCCAGCTGAGCAGCTTCTATGGGACGCAGGCAGTGCTGGGCACCTCTCTGCAGGGCACCTTGCTGTGACCTTGCCTCCTGTAGCATAAATACACACAGACACACTCTGCTATTTATAATCTGCCTCTGCCTGGGGAGAAGGTGAGAGAACCAACATGTGCCCGGTGTTGGTTGCTCTGCTCTCTGCTCAGGCTCCACCAGGAGAGGAACCCTATGGAGCACTGCTGTTCTCTGCTCTCATTTGGGAAAGCAACTCTTTGCATCTGCAGCACCAATCCCTTCCTTCCTCCCATCTCCACCAGCGCAGGAATCCCGAAGCATCCAGAAGGCTCCTCTGTCTGCAGCTGGAAGGGGGAGAGGCTTCTGCAGGGGGGATTTCTTTGGCTGTTGTACGTTGGGAAGCATGAGAGCAAGGAGACGAGGCAGGCTGGTGCTATTTCTGCCTGTCAGGAAGCTTGCAACAGGTACAACATTTGCTTTGAGGTTTCTGCTTTGGCAGAAACGAGGACACGAGGAGACGTCGTGACATCTCACTTTGCTGCCGTCTCCGTCTGAATTTCTGGCAGGGAGGAGAAAAATCTCCAAGCTGCTGTTCCCTCTCTGTCTCAGCACCCTTCCTCCACGCTGGAAGGAGCTGATAACAGCTTGATTGTGTCTTCCCAGTGCTGAGATGAGGGCTGAGAGCGTGCAGAGCTGTGCTGCCGGGCTTCCCCTGTTGTCTGACAGCAGTAATGGGTGGCTTGGTGCAGAATGAGCTGTTTTCTCTTTCTCCCTTCACCTGGCAGGAGGAGCTCAGCGTGGGGCTGGGGGCTGCCCCCATCACTCCCACTGCAGCTCCATGCAGCACTGAGCCTGTTGCAGAGCCAGATGCCAGCCTTCCTGCTCCACTCTGACTGCAAGCAAGGGGAGGCCTGTGGCATTATGTTTAATTTCTTTGTAATGCCTGTGGCATTATCCAGTGGTGTGGCATTCTCTGCACCCCAGAGCACTTTGTGGCAGTGCTTAATGCTCCTTGGTGCTGCTGCTGGGCAGGGCTCTGCTCTCAGCAGAACAGGGGCTGCTTTACTTTCCGCTTTATCTGTTGTGTGGGATGGCTGCCTCTGAAAATAGTCATCTTTTCTCTTTGCAGCGTGTGTCTGTGTGTGCCTTTCTGCCCAGTCTGACGTTTGTGAAATCTGCTCTGTTTTCCCATTGGTAACGATGGGGACAGGATGTGAAGAACACCCACCTGTGGAAGGCTCAGCCACGTACCAGACAGCTCACCGTGCATCTGCAGAGCCACGACCTCCCCAGCACCTGCACAGAGCAGTGTGTCACACAGCCTGGTTTCCTCATGCCTTCTTGCACCTCCCTGCTGGAAGTGAGGCAGCACCTTTGAGTGCATAAGCGTGCAAGAGGAGGGGAGGATCCCTGAAACAGAGCCCATTTCCTGGGACTGAGCACTGGGGTCCCGTCCCCTGGAGGCAGGAAAATGCCCTGTGCTTCCCAGGTGTGCTGGGAGCGCCCTGAGCTGCCTGGATTTGGGTGCTGGGGCACAATGCAAGCCTTGCTCCTAGCCAAGCCAAGCAGCTGGCGTGGTTGGCTGCATCCCTGCATCCCCAGACTGGATGTGGCTCTGGGCAGCCCAGTCTGGTGGCTGGTGACCCTGCACATAGCAGGGGGGGGTTGAAACTAAATGATGATTGTGGTCCTTTGCAACCCAGGCCATTCTGTGAGTCTGTGATCCGTCCAGCGTTACCTGCTTGGTGTGAATGTTGTTGTAACAGAATCACTTTGTAAAGGCAGCATGCAGGTCAGGTGGCACTGATCCCTCAGATATCCCTATGAATGAGTGGTGCTGAGGCTGTCCTCAGAAAAGGAATTTCAGACACGTGCTGCCCTGTACCTCCTGGCTGTGCTGTGTGGCCAGGGCAGCCCAGGCACGCGTTCCTCACTGCAGATGCTTCCATTGCTGCAGTGGGAGCTGATCTGTACAGCAGCAGCTGAACCAACATTCGTTCTCCTGTGTTTCTGCAGCCGCCACGCGTGACTGAGGAGCAAAAACAATCTCATGGAGTGACTCATCCCTTTGGGGAAGGTGGGATAAGAGCAGCAGGAGACAGCAAACAGAGGAGCAGTGTCTGCAGGGGAGCCGTGCTGTGCCCCCACGTCTGTGCTGGCTGATGCTGGGCAGCTCAGATGGGCATTGCTGAGAAGTTTGGCTGATGCAGCGTGGGTTTGTTTTAGACAAACCTACAGATGAAGCAATAGCAGCTTTTGTGTCTGTTCTGGGCTGCGTCCTGGGTGATGAGATGGGAGAGCTGGGGGTCCTGCTGTGTGCTGGGCTCAATGAGCTGCTTCTGTGGCTTCAAACCACAGCATTCGCCAGGTTCCTTCACAGCAAGGTGTTCTGAAAGCCTGCTGGGTTGTGTTGCTTCCAGAACAGATTCTGGGGCATTCAGAATCTCTGTAAACTGGTGGTAAATGCAGGGCTGTTTGGCCTTTGTGTCTCAGTTTCCTTTTTCTTGCAGATCAACGAACTCAGCAACGTTCCTGTCCCTGTCATGTTGATGCCCGATGATTTTAAAGCCTACAGTAAGATCAAGGTGGACAATCATCTGTTCAACAAGTAAGTGTGTGCCTCACAGCTTACCTGTAACTGTGCTTCTGTGGGTTGTAGGCAGCCAAAGCAGAAGGTGAATTCCTGGAGAGCCGTGCTGGGGGATCCTGCACTGTTAGCAGTGAGGTGTGGGAAGGACTTTGATTTCATCAGCTGATCATTGACAGGAATATTTCTCCTGCTTTGCTTTAGGGAAAACTTGCCCAGTCGCTTTAAATTTAAGGAGTATTGTCCTCTGGTGTTCCGAAACCTCCGGGAAAGGTTTGGGATTGATGACCAGGATTACCAGGTACCTTTTTTTTTTCTTTCCTTTCCCTGCTGTCCTGACTCGTTTCTCTGTGATAGAATAACCAGCGTGGGGGAGAAACTGCAACACTGGCAGTTTTTGGTGGTTTTTAAGGGCTTATGATCACGGTGTGGATGGGGTTCCCATCGTTGTGAGGGCTCCCAGCAGTGGGATGGATCTCTCTGGGCCAAGCAGTGGGCAATTGCAGGTGAAAAGGTAAGAGCTCAGTCTGGGTATGAGATAGGAGGCAGCAGACGACTGCAGGCAGGCAGGAACTGGAGGGTAACACTGATCTGGTCCTGCATAGCGTGAGGAGCAGCCGCCCAGCACCTGCATCCTTTCCTCCACCCCTTCTCCCCAGACCAAGGGGGTGAAGGATTGCTTCTCCCACCTTGAGCAGAGCGGTGTGACTGTTGGAAGTGCCAAGTTAGAGCAGAAAGCAGGAAACATTCAGGTGGGTAAAATGCGACGGCTGGAGCGGGAGCCGAGCCAGGATGCTGAACATAACACCCAGCACTGGAGGAGGTGGGGATGACAGGAAGGGAATTAAGTAAACCTGTGAGTTTGGTAACGTCCATATGTGGTCGCAGTTTCTGCTTCCCATCTCCGCTCCAAGAAATGCTCTGTGGTTTTGAGGTGAGGGGTGATTAAACCGTGCAGCGCAGGCTCGTTTGCAAATGGCAGCGAGCAGAGAGGTTTCTTTTGTTTGCTTTTATTTTCCTGATGGTTTCTAAAGCCGTTGGCAGGAGCAGAGTTGTTCCCTTGCTTCATTAAAGTTTTAAAGGCTTTAAATGCTTCCTTCTGAAAGGAAAGCTCTCTGTTTGCTCGCAGCACTGTGTGGTAAATCTCTCTTTGCAGCAGGCTGTGCTCGGCTGAGTGTGTCTGCAGCAGAGCAGGCTCCCTCTGGTGTCCACTGCTCAGAGAACCCAAGGGTGGGAGGAACAGAGCCACAGCCAGCTAGAAAACACATCACAGGATGCACTGCCCAGCTCTGGCACCCTGAAAAGGGCATCCACCTCGAGCTGAAGGCCGCTGTTAGATGTTGGTGCTGTTGTGTTTCAGAGCTCAGCTCCCCCCGTCTGCTTGCAAGCAGGACGCGGTTAGAGCCTGTACTGATGGGTGACAGAATGGCTTCTGGATGGGTGCAGGTGATGGAGGTGCTGGAGTTGGGAGCTTGGGATTTTGCAGTGGTGCTGTGGTTGGGATGAGAAGCTGCAGTGTTTTGTTGCTAAGGGTGGAGATGGGGATATAAAGGCGGTTGCTGCCGAGCAGTTCGTGGTCACTTCTCATCTGATTGGGCTGAGGGTGGCTTTTGTTTTTGGGATGTCCTGTGAAGAATTCCTAAACACAGGAAATGTTGCCAGTTTACGTGCATGACTGTTTTCACTCATTTTGTTCTGGTTTTATTTAACCCTTGGTCTTTGGGCTCTTGTGACAGAGCCGGGCTGTGGAGGTGCTCCTGAGCACCCACCTGCTTTCTGACACCGCTCTGCTTCCTTCCCCAGGGAGCTGGCAGCTCCTGCCTTCTCCTCCCCATGATTTTATTCTGTTTCCCTCAGAACTCGGTGACACGAAGTGCCCCAGTGAACAGCGACAGCCAGGGCCGATGTGGGGCCCGGTTCCTCACCACCTACGACAGGAGGTTTGTCATTAAGGCCGTGTCGAGTGAGGATGTGGCAGAGATGCACAACATCTTAAAGAAGTACCACCAGGTACGGTGAGTCTGCAGCCCTGCAGGGAGCTTTGGAGCACCCTGTGATGTGCTGGGGAGCTGTGGCAGAGCACGCAGATAGAAAGCAGTGTTCTGTAGCACCTGAGAGCCTATGAGGGCTCCTTCACAGTGCTGAGTCCTTCACTGCTCACCCTTACAGCAATGAATTATGGATTGCTGTTAACTGAGACCTGTGAACGCGATGCTAATTCAGTGCTTTGGATTAGACTTTGTGAAGGGACCAGGGGAAGGACAGAGCTGCTTGCAGCAAGGAAGAGGAGGCAGGTGACACAGCTGGAAGTGTTCTGCTGTTGTCTGTGGTATCTTCCAGTCCATCTGCACTGTACTTCCATGTAACCAAAGAGGGGATGTTAGATGCTGCCAGCAGCAGGCTCACACTTCTGTGACCAGGTGGTGGGAGGGCACGCTTGGCCTATCACAGCAGGCTGGGCCTGCACACAACGAGATGCTCTCTCTCAGCTGAGGGCTGTAAACATCTTACAGTGCCCCAGCTTGCTGTTCTGCAGCTGCAGAGAGCCATTTGCAAGCCTCCTTTCCTTTCTCATCAGTGTCAGACGGCTGGAACTGGAAGCTTCCCTATCGGCTTCATGCTGAGCTTGTGTTCCACCAGCGGTGGGTGTTGTGTGACAGTGCTGTCTTTCTCTGCCCTTCCCTTCCTGCTTCCCTGCAGTTCATAGTGGAGTGCCATGGGAACACCCTTCTGCCCCAGTTCCTCGGCATGTACCGGCTCACCGTGGATGGAGTGGAAACCTACATGGTGGTTACCAGAAACGTGTTCAGCCACAGGCTGACAGTGCACCGAAAATACGACCTGAAGGTGAGGCTGGGAGCAGAGTGCCCTGCAGGGTGAGGGCTGGTCTCTGTAACCCCTGTGTGAGAGGGTCCTGGGCTTTGCTCCTTTGTTCAGGGAGTTGGGTTTTGGGGGCTTTGTGTGGGACTTAAGGTTCAAATGTCGTCCTGTTCCTCTATCCCAAGTGGTCTGCACTGCACCAGGGAGGTCTGTGACTGTCTGAGGCATGAATTACATGGTTTCCATCAGTTCCTTGGGAATGCAGCAATGTTCTCTTCCTTCTTTTTGCTAGGGCTCAACAGTGTCCAGGGAAGCAAGCGATAAGGAGAAGGTATGGACCACCCCTTCCTCCTGCCTTTGGGGAGCAGATGGGATCCAGCTGACCTCCCTCTTCCAGAGGGGTTCAGAGCAGGGGAAACAAAGCAGGCCCTGCATGGTACACTGCTCCTATCCCACCCTTCAGGCTGCTCCCAGTAATGTACAGGAAGAGGTGGTGCTCTGAGACATTGACACTGCCAGGAGAGGGGGGAGAAACCTCTTGGGACACAAATCCACACGTAGCAAAGCCCACATTTGTGCAATGCTCTCCCAGCGTGTCAAACTGAGTCAGGTCAGCAGTTTGCTTTTGCAACAGCTGCTTCTATAAACCAGACCAACTCCTCTCGGATTCTTGGCACGTCTCAGCGTGTTTGTCAGTTTGGGTTCTGTTGCCACGAGGGGAGCTTAAAACTGGGAGTTCTGCCCCTGCAAAACCTCAGCTCTGACGTTGTCGTGAAAACTCCTGTTGAATTTGTACCTTTTTGCACGTGAGCTTTGCAGGCTTGAGGCTACAGAGTGAAGTTCCACAGCAGCTCACCCTGAAATTAATCCCTGGCACGAGCAAAGGAAGTTCCGTTTGCACCAAAAGCTCTGGCATTGAGGCACAGCTTCGTGGTGCCCAAACGTCCCTGGCTCGCTGCCTGTTTAGTCTCCAGCTTTTTCTGTGCATGCAGTTTGTCCCAGGCCATTCATATTAGATCTATATAAAGCCACCACGCTCATATATCATCCTAAGAGCGAAATAATTGAACTCCCAGTTGCACTGAAGGGTTGTGCATTCTCCCATATCCCTCAGGGCTCCGCTGCAGACAAATTCCTTCAAACAGCAGTTTTTTGGGTTTGGTTTTTTTTTTTTTCCTCGAGTCTTTTGGGAAAGAAGAGTTTTGTTTTCAATTCTCCCGACCCCAGGCAGAAACCAACAGGATGCATTTCTATTCTGGGAGCTGGTTGGGCCGGAGCCCAGCTGCCAAGCATTCAGCCTGCAGCACTTCTTCCCAGCAGTCCTTAAAGTTGAGCTGTTCTCAGGGTATGAAGGGAAGCACAGAGGTACACAGACTCATTGACAAACGTTGTGCTTTGCCTGCTGCCATTTCCTAATTAGTGGATGGGATGAGGCCTTATGAACAGGCAGGGGATTCCGGTGCTGCCCCGTGCTGAGCAATGGGTGCATTGCTGAAGGACCAGCGTGCAGCCTGGCCTCGAGGGGTCCAGGTTTGGGAATCTGACAGAGGATTTTTTGTTCCAGGCCAAGGATTTGCCGACGTTCAAGGACAACGACTTCTTGAATGAGGGACAGAAGCTGCATGTTGGGGAAGAGAGCAAAAAGAACTTCCTCGAGAAGCTGAAGCGGGACGTGGAGGTAGAGAACCCTGGGGGTGGCTTTTATTCTATCTGTGCCTCATAACTGAGTGCTCCCTGTGCACAGAGGTCAGCAGTGGCCAGAAGGCACATGGATGTGGTCAGGATTTTACCTTGGCTGAGGGCACAGCTCCCACATAGGTTCTGTGGGGACTAACATGGGTTTAAATGCCGTGTTCCCTTAGGGGGATACCAGGAGAGCAGGGCAGAATTTGTGATCTCGCACGGCTTCCATGACTCCCACTCATCTCTTCCTCCCAGTTCTTAGCTCAGCTGAAGATCATGGACTACAGCCTGCTGGTTGGGATCCACGATGTTGACCGAGCAGAGCAGGAAGAGATGGAAGTGGAGGATCGGGCAGAGGATGAGGAGTGTGAGAATGATGGCCTCGGAGGGAACCCCATCTCCTCGTATGGAACCCCCCCAGACAGCCCTGGCAATCTCCTCAATTACCCTCGCTTCTTTGGGCCTGGAGAGTTTGATCCCTCTGTTGATGTCTACGCCATGAAAAGCCACGACAGTGAGTGTTGTGGGATGCTGCCTTGAAGGTGTGGGGGGCAGAGGAGGCATCTTGTGGGCTGTGTGAGCTAAAGGGAGCGGAGGACTGTCCATAGAGAGAAAGAAACTCTCCCAAGTGTCTCTCCTGTGCTGTCCCTGTCTGCAGGTGGTGTGAGTTTGAATGTTGGAAGTGATGTTTTAGGAGCAGCGCAGCGTTCAGAGTGCGTGTGTGGATCTCTGGTGTGTGGTTTATTCCTCTCTGCCCTTCCAGAGCTCCCCCTGCCTTGCTTTCTCTGCTGTTTGCATTAAAGCAGATCTGTTGTTTCTCAAGGAAGGGATGTAACTGGGCTTTGCTGACAGCTCAGGGTGTGCTAGCAACTCTCTTGCCTTGCTAGGTGCCCCCAAGAAGGAAGTGTACTTCATGGCCATTATAGACATCCTTACACCATATGATGCAAAGAAGAAAGCTGCACACGCTGCCAAAACAGTGAAACATGGGGTAAGCAGCCTGATTCCTGCAGGGAGGATGGGCTTTGGGGCTTCTGCTTTGCCTGCATGCCTGTCTGTGTGCGTTTTGTGCCAGTCTGGACATCGTCCAGTGATCCCACATCAAGAGCAGCCCTTCCCTCACTCACCTGAGTTCCCTGCGTGGCAGCAGCAGCCTGGTGGGGCAGGAATGCTCGGGGTGCAGGCAGGCGTGATGCCTTCCTGCTGCCAGACCTGTTCCCAAACTTCTCTGAACTTCCCAAAAGAGCTCCAAAAAATCCCAATTCAATGGGACGTGGAGTTCCCGCTCTCTTTCCACATCTCTGACCCGTAAGAGAGCAGCTCCAAAGCTCTGACTCAGTAGCCTGCAGGAGAATGCAGCTGGAGCTAAAACCATTTTCCTGGGGGATCTTTCCAGCCCTCTGCAGCTGTTGGCTTTTCCTAGAACTTGCAGGTTCTGTTGTGGGTCTCTCCCAGCAGAACCAGCGGTGCTCCCTGCTGTCCTCCCTCCTCCTCCTGCTGTCCTCCCTCCTCCTCCTGCTGTGCACGGCTGTGAGCTCTGCATGCAGGGAGGCTGTTGCAGTTCATCTCTTGTCTCTGTTCCTTGCAGGCTGGGGCAGAGATCTCCACCGTGAACCCGGAGCAATACTCCAAACGCTTCAATGAGTTCATGTCCAATATCCTGACATAGTCATCTTCAGCCTTCAGAGGAACGCGAGGAGAAGAGGGGCTACTTCCCAGGGGAGAACGCAGCCTGTGACACTAAAACAGACTCTGTAGCAGCATGTGGGGTGTGTGAGTGAGTGAGTGAGTGAGTGAGTGAGTGAGTGAGTGAGTGAGTGGCACTGCGTGACTTCAGAGACAACGTATTTTCAGTGCACCCCTCCGACAGCCCACATCGGCCAGGTGGGAGAAAAGGGGGGGTAAAGGGGGGGGGGGGGGGGTTTGTTACAGAAGTGCCCAGACATCAATTCGAGGGCTTTTTAAAACAAGAAAAGTGCATTTGTTGCCAGCACTGCTCTTCCTGACGGTGTTTCCTCCTCTCTGACCAAGGGACTCCCAGGGATGTGACATGAGGCGCTGCGCCTGGGGGTCACTCGAGCTCAGCTTTACTTTGGAGTAAAGCAGTGCCTGATGCCACAAACTCCTTTTTTTAATTAATTAATTACCATCGAATTGTCTTTGCAAGAATGACCTCCAAGCCCTTTTACTTCCCTCGCTCTAAGAATTGGAAGGAAAATCGCTCGCCGTCTCGAGGATGGAAAATATGACACTGATAAGGAGGAGTCGCTGAACTTTAGGTGAATTCAGACTGGGACACTTTATATCTTTTGGTTAATTTAAGTAACAAAAATATGTTGGTTGTTGTTTTTTTTGTTTTTTTTTTTTTCTTTTGTATCTGCACTCGATTTACAAGAAAGATGAGGGAAATGAACATCTACCAAAGATGATCACTAAGAGAGGGCTTTGCTCCCGGAGCCTAAAAAAGCAATGTGAGGAGCACTAAGAGACGCTGAACGACATCGGATGGTGATGTGCTCAGACCCAGAGTGCTGCACCATCGGCCAGCTGTGAAGATGATGTGAAAGGACAAAAAAGCAAAGCTGTGTCCCTGTAGGTGTGGGACAACACCTGACTGCCTGGAACCTTTCCCCACGCACCGCAGTTGGGAGTTGCTGTGTCTCTTTGGTTCGTAGCTTCGTGTCTGCAGTTCAGTGTTAATCCAGCTAACGTTGTGTCTTCCTCATTCGCTCGGGCTGCAGCAGGCATGCTTGGATTTGCTTCCTGATGGAGGGTTGTGGGTTTGTTTTTTGCCATGGTGATGTGATTGTGCCCGGAGCTGTGGCTGTGTGCTCCTCTCTGAGCAGTATGGAAGGATGGGAATACATCCCCCACTCCCCCCCCTTTCCCCCCCCTAAACTCCAGCCAGGCTTTGAGGCTTCTTGTGGGCTCCATTCTCAGCACTGCACGACGCTGATGGACCTTTGGGTTCCTTCCTTCGTTTTCTTTCTCAGCAGGATTCGGCGTCTTGAACAAAACTCGCCGTCGCGACGCGTTGCTTATCTGCCTTGAACTGTTTTCACAAATGCCTTTGTTTTGGGATGAAGCTCTTTGGGCTGCCTGCCCCGTGCTGTAACGCCCTGCAGGGCTCTCACTCCTTTTGGGGGATCTCTGGTGCTCATTGCATCCCAGCTGTGTCCCCGTGGGCTCCTGGCTCTGCTGTGGGATGTGGGATCCGGGCAGTTCTTGTGATGCAGTCTGAGTGCCACCACTCTCAGCTTGGAAGGGGACACAAGGGCCTCGAGCTTCAGCCCATAGAGGCACGCTGTAAATAGGGCACTCACGGAGTGAGTCGGGGGTCGCAGAGGGACGCAGACCTTTGTGGCCATTTGTGGGTCGTTCCCAAGAGGTGGGGCAGCCTCAGAACGAGTGCAGCTGAGAGAACGCTTTCAAAAGGGAGGATGGGGGGCACGGCCGTGCTGTGGGCGTTCCGTTGGTTGCTGTGCTCTTTGCAAGCAAGAAAATAAGCACTTAACGTTTACTATCCCTTAAGAATTTGACACCCATTGCTTTTTGTTCTGGACGGTTTGAAGAATCTTGCATTGGAGCTGCAGCTTTGGCCCAGGGAGCGCTGCTGGGCCGCGAGCCGCCTCCTTTTCAACCGATCATCTTTAAATCGCTTATTTATAAAATAATAATAATAATAATAATATAAAAGGAGAGGAGAGGGTTGGGGGGGTGGGGAGGAAGAGGGGAGGGGGGGTCTGTGAGCTGCAGGCGCTGAGCTGTGCTGCTCCTCTCCAGCAAAACTCGTGCTGGGACTGAACTGGAGGGCTGTGGCTCAGCCCGCTTCCCCAGCTCTGCCCCTTGTCGAGTTGCCATGCTGTGTGTCCTGCAGTAAGGAAATGCCATTTTCTCCCTTAATGCTGTGTTACCCAGGTGTGTAACTTCGTTTAACGTGAGCGTTTTGTACATTGTTTACATTGGGGGAGGTAGCGTTGTGTTCAAGATGCTAATTTTCGTTTCCAGACAGTATTTTTCTTACCAGAACAAGAAGGTGATAAGCTGCAAATATTTTGTTTTTAAAAGGGACTTTGGGTTTTTGTTTGTTCTTTTTGTTTTTAAATCTTATTTTAGGTCACTGTTATTATTACTACTTTATTTTTTAACTCAAGTATTTAAGAAAGCCTAGCCCGTTCCATTCTGGTTTTACAGCTGCTCGTGCTCGTTTGTTGTCTGTTGCTGGTGTGAGTTTAGTTGTAGTGTGCTGGATGTAGGTAGCTGTGTCTGTAGATGTGCCCCACAGAGTGCAGGGGGGGCTGGGGGTGGTCCTGCAGGGTGGGCTCTCAGAGTGTGGCTCTGATGCTGTTGAAATGTGAGCACTGAAATCTGCTTTGGGTTGCCTGAAAGAGAAGCCCTGGGGCAAAAGGGAGAGGGGAGAGGGAAGGCAGAGCGCAGCAGTGCATGGCTGAGTGCTGTGCTGCCCGGTTGGTGCAATAGAAAATGCTCAAGAATAGGATGGGTCACCCAAAAGTGGGGGCTGGGGATGGGGGGGGGGGGAAGCAGGCAGCACCCACCTGTGGGTCTGCCCCAGGGATCAGCCTGCTGGTGGCAATGCAGGAGCCGTCGGTGGGAGCTCAGTTCTTGCTGCAGGGAGCAGAATGCTCCTCCCTTCTCGTCTCAGAGGACCCAGCGTTCCTTACAAAGGCCACCATTGTGAAGTTCCTCACGTGGAACTCGGCGTGGTTCTTCGCTTCTGCTTCCCTGCATTCCTGTGCTCCCCCCACGCTGGAGGATCCTGGCTTCCAGCTGCAGTGCCACGAGCAGCAGGAGCACTGAAGCACTCGAGTTGTACTTTGTGAGCTGGGAGAAGAGCCTGCATCCCCAGCTGTGAGCTCTGACGGTGGTTCAGTGGCTGCAGGCTGCGTTCAGTAGGGATTGTCTTCATCTCCGAGCAGCTGCCTCTGTCCTGTGACTGCCATGCAGTCTTTAGAGGCCTCCCTTCGAGCTGCAGAGCTCCCACCCCGAGGTGGCACAAACCCTTCAGCAGTGTGCAAAGCCTCGGTTTGTGACACCGCGCAACCGATCTGAGATGGATCGCTGCTACAGCAGCATCTCCTCCCCAGCACCGTTTCAGGTTCGCTGTCACCTTGCCCTACTCCTGCAGAGCTGCTCTCCACATCACTGCTGATTCTCCTTGCTCTTTTCCTGCGGGACAGCAATGGCAAAGCACAGGGAACCAACTTCTGCTGAGGGTGGTTTTGGTTTTCATCGCTCGCACCCTGCGCTGCTCCTCGCTCAGCTGCACGAAGCAAAGGGCAGCAGATCGAGTTGTGGCAAGGGGGTGCGAAACACAGGTCTGAGAGGGGGGGAGCAGGGCGAATCAGTGCAACCGAAATCAAATGTGAATAAATTAAGTTTGAAACTCAACAAAACAAACGAAAAATAATAATAAGGCGTTCTAGGGTTCTTTTTTTTTTCCCCACTGCTGTTTTTTAAATAGGAATTTGAAGTCCTCTGTGCTTGTCTGTTTGCTAGGAGCAGTTTGAGACACTGTTACTGTTTTGAAATGCATGCATGTTACGAGATGAGTCTCCAAGCAGAGAAAAATAAAATCAAAACTTTGTGTACGTGTTGTTCTTCCTTGCTGGCCTCTTCAGCACGTTCTCCTGCCCAGCTGGTGTTGCAGGGGATGTTTGGTCATCTTCAGTGCTGGATTAACCACAGCTGGAGCAGAGCTCTGTGCTCCCAAGGCCTGGTTCTGCCATGTGCTGCACGTGAGAACCACTCAGAGCTGGCAGGAGGAGATGCTGCTGATGCTCACATACAGGTGGATGATGAGCAGAGGTGGCTTAAAGATAAGCTCTGCTGGTGTGTGAAACCCGAGCTCCTTCTGCTAGCTTTACAGAGAAGAACTGAATCCCGCTGTTAGGGCTCAAGCAAAGGAAAGTTCACTACAATGGAGAGCTTTATTTTAAAAAATGTGCACATAATCTGAGCTGAGAGACACAGGAACAGCTGTGCTGGGTTAGTCCATGCGTGCCTTCAGAGTCCGGGTGGTGATCTTGTCTTTTTCACTAAAGAGGGAGACAGAGAAAACTATTAGCAAATCAGTGTTAAACACTGATCATCTTTTTCCTCACAAGGTGCAGTGTGCAATGCAGAATCATGAAAGGTGGCTGTCAGAGCTCAGCAACCCCCTTCCTCCTGCTTGCTGTGTCCCAGGGGAGCTGAGCAGGCTCAGTCAGCAGCAATGCTTGGGAACAGTGCTGGGCAGCAGCAGCACGAGCAAAATAAGCTGCATCTGATGAGAGTCTGACTGCAGTCAGAAAGCTGACCCTGCATCCTGCTGTGGCAAAGAGCGTTCTGTTGCTCAGGGCTGCTTCCAGTGAAGGGATCATGCTGCCAAACACTGATGGGAATGCTGTGAGAGAATCCACACAGTGAGAGTTGAACTCTAGAGTTAACTGCTGCAGTTGTAGCAACAGCAAGCATACATGGGAAATAACTACTTAATAACTACTGCTTTCTGCTCTAAGAGTAGAAAGGGAACAAGACTGGAGACAGCTGGGAAGCCAATCCCTCAACTGATTTTAGCCCCCCAGGCTGGGAAACTCTACCTGTATTCAGAAGGGAAAGAAAGCAGCACTCACATTATGTGCACTACTACCCCCATGCCAGACAGGGCATCTCTGTCCACTGCATTCAACATGGCCTGCGAGATCGTTTCAAAGAGGTGATCGGGTTCCTGAAGAAGAGAAGCTGTTTTAGTTGGTCCAAGAACTGGACGTCGAGTCACCAGATTTTGTCAACACCCCCAAAACACCATCGAGATGCCACAAGCATTTTCCTACAGGCTGCTGTGAGCCTTTATTCTCCCGACTCATCCAAGGACAGAGCTGCTCAGCCAACCTTCTCCCTGCTTCCCCAGCTAACAGCAGGAGGCAGAACCCCAGGATCCAGGCAGAACCTGCTTGCCTCACTCACCATATCGGGCTCCCAGAGGGACTCACACATGCCATACATCTGCTCTGAGCAGGTGCCGCTGACCACAAAGTCCTCAGTTATCATGGGGCAGCCAATCAGGTCCAGGGAGCAGATGAAAGGTTCGTGTGTTATGGGGTCCAGGCCAGCGATGACCGGTTCTGTGTAATAAGGTCCAAACCTGGGGAGAAAAACAGAGTTCAAAACAGTCCGACCACCTGGAAGAGGTTCCCATCACATGTGAATGTCCGTACAAGGAAAATATCCCACAGGCACTCCTGGTGGTGGACCTTTCGGATTGATCTAGAAGCATCCCCCAGCTGTTTTAACGTGGCAAAGTGAATAAAATTTTACTGCTAAGTGGAGTATTTTAACCAAATTCATTATTATCTGGCAAGGAATCTGAAAATAACATTGTCAATAAACGAACGTTTCCTTTTCCCACGTCAAAACAAGCCTTTATAAGGAGCCTTCCCCAGCCTCCCAGCTCTCTAGAATCAGACAAGCTACAACAGCTGCACCCTTTGCCAACACACAAACAGCACTCAGTAGTTTGAGTTACCGTCTCTCGTAGAGCAGATTGGAAACCATGCTCATAAAAGTCTGCGGTTTGATCTGCCTCCCTTCCTTCAGCTCATAGAGGTTCAGCCTGAACTTCAGCCTCTGGGCTCTGCAAGAAGAGAGGACCATCAGCGTTAAGGCCCAAGCAGGTTCCTTTTGCTTTCATCTTCACCAGGCCTGAGCTGCTCACAGATACCAGCTGCTCCCAATGCGTTCCTGAGGCAGGCAGGAACCCCAGGTGCAATTCCCTTTTATACTTGAAGTTATTCATCCCCAGCAGCAACAAGGTCTTAAATCGCACGCTGTTTTACTTTTAAAATAAAGAATCCACTCCTGTATGGCAAACATAAGCAGGAGTTTTATAAACACAAGTAATCAAAAATCAGGCACATACATGTGAGGTCAGAAGCGAGCACAGCGTGAACCAAACTCGACTCTTTCAATTTGTCTCAGAACAACCCAAAAAAACCCTGTGAAGGGAGACCAGAGGGGTGCTGGTACCACTTGTTACGCTCCTCAATTTATGCACGTGGCACAGGCTGCCATTGGTGTCCATGCAAATAAACCTCTCCCAGGCTCAGCCTGGGGACACGCAGCTGGGACAGCACCACTTACACCGTCTGCACGTCTGTGGCCAGACCTGCCAGCCCAATGTACAGCCTTTCTCCCATAGGGAAAATCTTCTGGAAGTCCGTGGTGACCATCTGTGCCTGGATCCCAAAGCGACGGTCGGCAGCGATGGCCACGCAGTTCTTCCCCCTCATGGCCATCACGGCCCCACCGTTATATGACATAATCGACTGCAAGAGAAGGCAGCAGGTACAGCAGGGGGGCACAGCCCCACACATCCCATCTCCCAGCCTCACAGGGACCTCTCAACTCCCCTCCCAGCCTCCCCCAACCATTCAACCCTGCCTCCCCCCCTCTCCCACCCTCTCCTCCCCCCATCTCCCAGTCCCACAGGGAACCCCCCGACCCCTTCCCCCCCAACCCCTTTCCCCCCTTCTTCTTCTCCTCCCTCCCCCCCCCCCATCTCCCAGCCCCCTAGGGATCACCCAGCCCTGTCCCGCACCCCAGTTCTGGCTTAGAAGCCGCTGCGTCCCCCCCCCCCAGCTCCCACCGGCTGGTTTCTCGCTTAGCCGGGGCTCCGCAGGCCCCGGTCCCAGCCCCGATGTGCCCCGGCCCAGCACTCACCATGATGCCGGCTGTACGGACAAACCCTGCCCCGCTGCTCCGCTTTCGGCCTCGGCCTCAACCCCGCCGCTCCGCTGTCCCGCCCCTCTCCTCCTCCCATTGGCCACCGCCGCGCTCTTCCGGTCAATCCGTCGCTCGCTATTGGTGGACTGTCCCGCCGGGAGGCAGAGCCTGACTGGCTGCTACCATAGAGGAGGAGGAAGGGAGGAAAATGAAGAGTCATAGCGAGCGAGGCATGCCGGGACGGCGGCGGACCGCGGGGCGGACTGGGGGCGGATGCTCCGCTGGGTGTGCGTGCAGGGCTTGCACGGCTTGGGGGCATCGCACAGCTGGGTGTGCATAACGGGCATTGCACAGATAGATGGACATGCATGCGGGACATTGCACAGCTGGGTGTGCATACGGAAGCACAGCACTGCTGGGCAGTACCATAACCAACAAGGGGGGGGGGGGGTGCACAAAAGTTCCGGTTTCCTCCAATCCCTGGCGCTGCTGGAGCAGTGCGGGCTGATGGAGCAGTGCAGCAGTCTCCCAGCGGCTCAGCTGGAGGGGACTAGAATTCGATGTTTCAGTTCAGGAAGCGATGTTGTGCCAAAGGGACAGAGATCCACGTGTTTGGAAACGCTCTCAAAACGCACAGCAGATCACCCGCCTGGTTTCAATGAACCCCCACAGCCCCCCGCAGCGCCTGTCCCAAAACCGAGCCCTGCAGGCTCAGCCCATCCCACGGCCGTTGGATTTTTAAAGACTTTTCCATTGTAAAAGGTTTCTTGTGGGAATGAAGTCTGGCAGGAACTGAGGAGAGGAGCACCGAAGCCAGGAGGAAATGAAAGGCAGATTGTGGCTGAGCTCAGAGCTTCCACAGCCCCCCCGCATGGTTCAGAGCAGCGATCCCCTGGTTACCACTGCCTTTCACCTTCCAGCCAGACCTGAAGGGCAGCATTGATCCCATCCCCACCCATCCTATCCCCATCCCATTTCTATCCCTTTTCCCATCTCAAATCATTCCCATCCCCACTCCAACCCCAAACACAACCTCGTTCCTATCCCTATCCCATCCCATCCCATCCCCGTCCCCATCCCATCTCTATCCCTTTTCCCATCTCACCCCATCTCCATCCCATCCCCACTCCAATCTCAACTTCAACCTCTTTCCTATCTGCATCCTGTCCCATCCCACCCCCTGTTCTTATTGCCCGAAGTTCTGTGCTGGGAGCAGCAGGGAGCTCCTGGCACTGCCTCACACTCCGCAGTAAAACACGAACTTCATTATTTCTGGTATGAAAACAAAACCGGGACAAGCCAGGAACATGAATAGATTTTGCAGCTTTGTGGCATCTATTTTACAAAGGCTTTGGAAAAGAGGAGGAATTCAACAGCGCAGATTTTGGATCCCTTTCAGCTTTTGTTTTCCCAGCGAAATGCAGACCCGGCGCAGAGAGCTGCGGTCCTGCAGGGATCGCGTTGGATTGGATTCGGGTCGGGGAAGAGGTAAAAAAAAAAACCAAAAAACAAAAAGGAAAATGCACGCAGCGAGGGAAAAATAGGCGACTCGTCCCTGGGTGGGCTCGAACCACCAACCTTTCGGTTAACAGCCGAACGCGCTAACCGATTGCGCCACAGAGACCGCGTTGAGAGCTTCGCTGCAGCCGCTGCCCTGAGTGGTGCGGTGCCGGCGCGGGGGGTGCGGAGCCTCCCGCTCTGCCCTCTATTCCTTTTTTCTTTACATTTATTTCCCTTTTTTCCTTTCCCTGCTTTTTTAACTCTCTCTTTTTCCTTTTTCTCCCCTATTCCTTTTCTTTCCACCCTTTTTTCCTTTCCCCCACCCCCCCTTTTTTTTTCCCCTTTCTCTCCCCCTTTTCCCTTTATTTTTTCCCCCTCCTGTTTGCTCCCCATCCTTCCCCCGAACCACGAGCACGGCGCACGGCCCGTGGTACCCCGGGGGGGTGAGGAGGGCAGGTCCCGGTGAGTGGTGCAGCCGCGAGGGGGTCCCGGATCTCCGTGGGGCCACAACGGGGGAGGATGGGGGGAAAAGGGGGCCGCAATCTCTGCCCCTCACTCCCCTCCTCCGTAACACCCCCAAAGGAATGAGGTCACGTGAGGGGGGGGGCGGGGCCTGGCGGCGGCTGGAGGAGGGAAAAAATTAAAAAAAAAAAAAAAAAAAAAGAGGAAAAAAAATTAAAGGGGAAAAAAAAAAAAGGAGGAGTAAGGGAGGGAAGGGGAAAAAAAGAAAGAAACGGGAGAAAGAAAGAAAAAAGAAAAGGGTAAAAGAAAAAAAAAAAAAAGGGCTCCGGCCGCAGCGCCGAGTCGAGCCGCGCCGAGCCGGGCAGCGCCAGCAGGTACGGACCGGGCCCCCCCGCGCCCCCCCCCGCCCTTTTCTCTCCGCGTTCAAAGATGGCCGATGGCCGCCTTGTGCCGTGACCCCCCCACGGGCGCGGGGCGTGGGGCGCTGACAGCTCCACGGGGAGGGAGGGAGGGGGGAGCGGCCTCGGTACAAAGGGTGCGGGCGGCGGGGGGGGCAACAGCCCCCATTGGGTCGGGGGGTGACACGGAGGGGGGGGGCGGGAGGGTTGGATGCGATCCGCTCCGTTCAACGCGCGTGTCGGCATCCCGGCGCAGCGTCACCCACCGGCGGGGACGCACGAGGGGCTGCGGGGGGGGTCCGGCCGGGAGGGGGGGTCGTTTCACCGCGTACCCCGTCCCGGTACGGAGCGGTGACTTTGAGACGCCCTTCCCCCCCTCCCACTCCCCCCTCCGCCAACACAACGCGTTGCAGATTTTAGGGAGGGGGGATCCGGGACAGAACCCCCCCGGATGGCGGTCAGCCTCTGCGTGACACCCAGCGGGGAGTCGAGCTGCGGAACCGGTTTGTGCCGGTGGTTCTATGTCCCCCCCCATTCCCTCCCCCCCCTCAGGAGACCCGCAGTCCCCAGCGATTCGGCGAGCTCCTGCTTGGGGGTTTTGCCAGGGGGGGCGGCGAGCAAGAGCAGCCCGTGGGGAAATACAGCGCGGGGAGGGGGCGGCTGCGGTGGGGGTGGGGAGGGGAGGGGGGGTCCGCGTCGTGTGCACGCTCACAGCTCCATCACACACCGCATAGGCGCCCCGTGCACTCCCACTTGTGCACCCACAGTCGTGCACGCACCCCCCTGTGCGCCCCCCGCTCTGCTTTCCACGAGCGCAGCGCTTTGCTGCCCGCATCCTCGCCCTTTGCGTGGCGCAGCTCAGGGCTGCTCGGAGTGGGGGGTTGCCATGGAAACCATAAAACTGCGGTGATTTCGGGCCGTGGCTGCGCCGTCCCACCGTGAAGGCGGCGCGGATGGAGCGGGCAACGCTTGTGGTGATGGGGGGCATCCGTCTGCTCACACCCACCCGCGCACACCCCTCTGTGCCCACCCGTCCATGCACAACCACCCCTCAATGCACACCACTTTGTGCACGCCCTTCTGTGCAAACTCATCCGTGCACACTCCTCCGTGCACACCCCTTGCACACCCCTTGCACACCCGTTGCACACAGGTGCCCACAGTGCCCAGCTGCAGGCTCCAGAGTTTCTATAGAAACCGAGAGAGGCGAATGGAGGCTGAAGTGCCTCTTCCATCTAACAAAACCAAAGCACACTCGTGCACTCCTGTGTGTGTGTGCACGTGTGCGTGTGCAGCCCGGGCAGCTGCAGGCAGAGGGGCGCTGGGGATATGCTTGGGAATGCAGTCCTGAAGCCGGGGAGGAGGGGAGAACGAGGGAGGGGGGTGGGAGGATGCATGGGGCTGTGCGGGGCAGTGCGTGGGGGGTGCGGGCGCTGCCCACCGTGCGGCCCCGGGGAGGTAGAAGGGTCCCGGTTTGGCACCGATGGTGTCGTCCCTCCCCCCTCCTCCCCAACCAGGGCGGAGCTGTTGCAACATGCACAGGACCACCCGGATAAAGATCACCGAGCTGAACCCGCACCTGATGTGCGCGCTGTGCGGGGGGTATTTCATCGACGCCGCCACCATCGTGGAGTGCCTGCACTCGTGTGAGTTGGGGCGGGTGCCCCACGCCGTGCGGTTGTCGTGGAGCGGAGAGGGGAGATGGGAGGATGATGATGATGATGATGGGGGGGGGGGGGGGGGGATGCGGGGTGCTGCCCGGCTCAATGGGGCGCTGCGTCTCTCCCTGCAGTCTGCAAAACCTGCATCGTGCGTTACCTGGAGGCCAACAAGTACTGCCCCATGTGCGACGCCCAGGTGCACAAAACCAGACCCCTCCTCAGCATCAGGTGAGTGAGTGGTGTGCTGGGATATCTCGCTGGTTGACCCCCACGGCAGGGGGGGGGGGGGGGTGTGTGTGGAAGGGGGGATGTGGAAAAGGTATGGGGAGATGGGATGAGGTGGGATGGGATGGGATGGGATGGGGGAAGGTGGGATAAGGGAAGAAGTGCCGCTCCCAGCGCCGTTTCTCGTTTCTCTTCCCCTCAGGTCAGACAGAACGCTGCAGGACGTGGTGTACAAATTGGTCCCGGGACTGTTCACAGGTGCGGTTAGGCGCTGCGGGACCCCCGGCCGTGCCCTCCCCTCCTCCCGCCCTCCTCTCCTTTCATCCCCCTCTCTTACAGATGAGATGAAGCGTCGCCGCGACTTCTACGCCGCGTACCCCGTGGCCGAGGGTGAGTGCCGGCCCATGGGGTCCCCTTCCTCCCACCTACGCGACCCCCGGCTCAGACTTTCCCCTCCCGTGCCCACCAGTGTCCAATGGCTCCAGCGAGGACCGCGGGGAGGTTCCGCAGCGCGACGGGACACAGCCGACGGAGGATGGCATCGTCAGTCTGTCCATTGAGTTCTACGAAGGAGCCAGGTAGCGCTGGGCGGTGGGGGACGGAGGACGCGGGGTGGGGGTCGGGAAGGGGATGTGGGGCGGGGATGTGGGGCGGGGAGCATCCAGGGCCCATCGCAGGGCTCAGCCCCACAGCCCCAGCAGCAGCGCTCGGTGTTAAGAGATGCAGCGCTGCGTGCATGGAGCTCGGCGAGAGGTCCGAGGTGTCCCCCGCTCCCAGTGCCCACCCCTGAAGGTTCCCACGGGGGCTGCTTTTTCCTTCAGCTTTGTCCCCTCTTTGTTTTCCTGCCCCTCCAGAGAAGAGAAAAAAGGGACCATCGAGAATGGGGATCTGGAGAAGGAGAAGGTGAGGCTGGAGGGACACACCGGGGAGGGGATGGGGGGCTGCCCCGGCTGCAGGGGGGGCTCAGCAGCACTCATCCCCCAGAGGAACGCGGTGCGGTTCCTGCGCTGCCCCGCGGCCATGACTGTGATGCACCTGGCCAAGTTCCTGCGCAATAAGATGGACGTGCCCAGCAAGTACCAGGTGAGCACCCTGCGGTCCCCCCGCCCCCGGCTTTGCCCGTTCCGCCGCCCCCTGATGCTGTCCTCGGCGCCAGGTGGAGGTCCTCTATGGAGATGAGCCCCTGAGGGAGTATTACACACTGATGGACATCGCCTACATCTACCCTTGGAGGAGGGTGAGGAGGGGGATGCGGGGTGCATGGGCTACGGGGTGCACAGCACATGGGATGTGGGGTGCGTGGTGCATAGGGGGAGCAGGACGTGAGGTGTATGGCATGCATAAGATGCAGGGTGTGTGGGGCACAGGGGGTGCACAGAGTATGGGGTGTGCAGGGGGTGCACAGGCTGGATGGTGCACAGAGGGCATCAGACGCGGGGTGCACAGGACGTGGGGTGCATGCGATGTCAGGTGCAAAGGTCATGGGGTGCATGAGATGCAGAGTGCATGGGATGCGTGGGGTGTGGGGTGCACGGTGCACAGGGGGCATAGAACATGAGGTGCATGGGGTGCATGGGGTGCAGGGGGTGCACAAGATGCAAGGAGCACGGGGTGCACAGGGTGCAGGGGGTGCAGGAGGTGCACAGGGGACACAGGACATGAGGTGCATGGGCTGCACGGGGTGCAGGGTGTGCAGGGTGTGCAGGGTGTGTAGGGTGTGTAGGGTGCAAGGAGCACTGAGTGCAACAAGGCGTGCAGGGCACGTGGAGCACAGGGTGTCCAAAGTGCACGGGGTGCAGGTTGTAGGGAGCACGGGGTATGCGGGGCGCACAGGGTGCAGCGCTCTGCCCATCTCCCCCCGCAGAACGGCCCCCTGCCTCTCAAATATCGCGTCCAGCCGACCTGCAAGCGCCTGAAGCTGCCTCAGCCGCCCACCTCCGAGTGCACCAACACCAGCGGCGCCTCCGAATGCGAATCGCTCAGCGACAAAGCGCACAGCCCCGCCACGCTGCCCCGCACTCCGCCCTCCCTTCCCAGCCCCGGCACTCCGCCCCACGGCTCTCCCAGCCCCACAGCCGCCGCCGCTCCCCACGGCGCTTCGAACTGCCCCCCTTTGCCCCCCTCCCGTTGCCGCAAAGCCGCGGCTCACGGCCCCGCGGGGTCCGCGCTGACCTAACGGGGGGAGGGGGGGGACGGCCGCGTTGGTTTTGTATAGCTCTATATATTATATATATGTGCATCTATAAAGAGAGACGTGTACAGAGGGAGGTGCAGATTGTACGCGCGTGTTTTACGGGTGGGTTTAGAGTGCAGGTGAGGCGCAGAGGGGAGCTTGGGTGCTTTCAAATAGTTTCTGTTTCGTTGTTTCACGCTGCAGTTGTGCGAGCCGGGCGCTGCCCCACACATCCTTTCCCCCCCCTCCGACCCCCGCTCCTCAGTAGGATGATTCACTTCTCATTTCCGTGTTGGATTGTTGGATAACAGACCAAACACAAACCGCAGTTCCTTTCAGCCCGGGCTGCCTCTCACCCCCGCTCTCCGGGCTCTGGGGTGCGTCGGTGGGCTCACAGTTTGCTTTAGGATTGCTTTCTTCAAGCGCTGCTCCTGGGGTTTCACTGCAGCCCCCACTCCTGCACCGCGATGCTGCAGGACCCCCCGGCCCCCCCTCTTCTCCCCCGCGTGCGTTTTTTCCCCTCTAAGCTCCAAACCAAGCAGCTCCGTGTGCTCGCATCCCACCTGCCGTCACATCCCATCATATATTTGCAACATCCCATACAGTTATCAGGCAAACATTCGCATTACGCCCCAGCTCAGGAAGCGCAATAAATGCCGCTCAGCCCCACGCAGACTCCGGGACCAACCGCAATCACAGGGGCTGCGTCCCTACGGGGTGCCCGGCCGGGTTGCGGTCACGGAGGTGAGGAGGGAGCCCAGCAACGGAGCTCAGCGCCGGGCTCCTCTCCCCGCCTCCCACAGCCGTAGGTGGCTGCCGTCGCACCGGGGGGGGCTGCGGGTCCGTTTGCAGCCGCACAGCCACACTTTCTCGTCCGCCTCCGCCGTGAAACGCAGCGGAACGCTGTCCGGAGCCGAGGTGCGGTGCGTGCCGTCGCAGAACGGCTGAGAAGCAAAAAAAAAGCCGCGGTTCTGAGAGGAAAACTGCTGGACCCCGCACCCATCCCGCAACCCTTCCGGCCCGGCCCTCGGCCGCACACCTGCGCCCTGCTGTGCCCGCACGAACACCACGCGTATTTCTTTCCCTGCTTCAGCTCCACGCGGTACGGAAACGCGATGCGGGGGAAGAGCGCAGCCCTCAGCCGGGCCGCCAGCGCGGCCGCCCCGCGCCGCACCGCCGCCATCCCGCAGCGCCCGGAACGGCCGGAACTTCGGATCTGCCGCGTCACAGCGGCCGCCCCGCCTCCTCCTCTCCTTTTTCTCTCTTTTCTTCCTCCTTCTTCTTTCTTTTTTCCCTTCTTTTTCTCTCTTTTTACCCCTTATTTTTCCTTCTTTTTTTTCCTTTCTTTTTCTCTCTTTCTACCCCTTATTTTTCCCTCTTTTTTCCCCCTTCATTTTCTCTTTATTTCCCTTCTTTTTTTTTTTTCTCTTTTTTCCCTTCTTTTTTTTCTTTTTTCTTTCTTTTCCTCTTTTTCCTCCCCCCCTTTTTTTTTTTCATCTTTTTCTTTCTTTTCTTTTCCTTTTTCCTTTCTCTTTTTCCCTTTATTTATTTTTTCCCTTTCTTTTTTTTCCCATTTATTTATTTGTTTTAATTTCTTTTCTTTTTTCATCTTTTTTTCCTTTTTTTCTTCTTTTTCTTTTATTTCATTTTTTCATCTTTTTTTTCCTTCCTCCACCCTTTTTTCCTCTTCTTTTTTCTTTTTTTTCCCCCCTCTTCTTTTTCCCCATTTTTTCCTTTCTTCTTCATCTTTTTCTTCTCCCCCTCCCTTTTTTTCTTTCTTCTTTTTTTTTTCTTTTTCACGTCTTTCATCTTTTTTTTTTTTCTTTCATTTTCCCCCCCATTTTCTTCTTTCTTTTTCTCCTTTTCCTTTTCTTTCCCTTTTCTCCTCCCCCTTCCCTTTTCTTTTCCTTTTCCTATCCTGTTTTTCCCTTCTCCAGCTGTTCCCAAACCTCCTTGCTGTCCCTCCAACTTTCCTGCCCGGAAAACAGGGGACAAGAGGACACCTGTGAGCTGTGCATTCAGGCCTGCTGCTGGAAAGCTGCTGCTTCACCCTTTCAAGCAACTGCAGTGCAACGCCGAGGGCACCGGCAAGCAGCAGAGCAATGCAAGCTGCTCACCTGGGCTGCAAGGACTGCTGCACTGGAGGAGCCCAGCTTCGGTGTCCTTGCACAACTGCAAAGCCCTTCTCGCCCCCTGCACGGGGCGCTGCGTGCTGTGCAGCAGCTCTGCAGACAAACGGGGCAACGAGAGCTTTTGTGCCACCCCAAAAGTGTTGCTGTGTCCCCACGGACTGAGCCTGAGACCCTTCCAGCTTTGGGGAGCTGGGGCTGTGAGCAGCTGCACCCCCTCAGGTGCATTAACGACGCCTCCCACGTTCATATTAATATTATTTATTATAATAAAGAACAGTCAAGCAGCGTGAAAAAAATATATCTTAGCTACATTACCTTAAATTGCCAAAAATATACACATTTTTCCTCTTTTATTTAATTAAAAAAAAAAAACAAAAACAAAAACAAAACCGAAACAGAACAAAACAAAAGAAAGACACATGCAACGTACTAAATGAGACATTAGCATCAAAATGGGTAAAGAAACGTACCCCAGTGCAACTGAAACACAGCTCATCTTTAGCTTTTCTTTTCCTTCCTCCTCCTCCTCCTCTCTTCACAGCCATACGGGTGCTCGCTGCCGACCCCCCCCCCCCTCCGTTGCCCAAAGGGACCTCAGGGTGCAGGAGGGGCCTTGAGAGGGGCTGGCACCTCAGCAAGAGCCCCGAGGAATGTGTAAGTGCTTTATCTGCGGGGCTCTCACCTGCCCTACGAGCCTCTCCTGACCCCACGGCTTCCCGCTGGCGCTCAGCATCGCGGTGCTGAGCCACGGATCCAAGCAAGGGCTTTGATTTGCTGATCAGAGCCACGCCGCTGGAACCCATCGAGCCCTTTCCGTCCCTGCTCCCCTCCTGCTCCCGAGTCTTTCCCTGCAGAGCTGGGACGTGGCTCCGCTCTGCAGCAGCCTGCATGCGCCCGGGGAAGCGGGGCAGCAGGCGGCACCTCCCCATAGGGGCCTCCCAGTGGAAAAAAAAACAAACAAAAAAGAAAAAGAAGCGTCGTCAGAATTGAATCAGAGCCCCAGGTGAGCACAGCAGCAGCAGGCAGAGCTCACAGCTGCTGGCGGATCCCCAGCCCCAATGGATGCAACGGGGAGGAGGTGCTCAGAGCTGGGGCTGCGCTGCAGGGACCACGAGGAGGGGGAGCTTTTTTGTCCTCGGGTTCGATTTTTCCTTGTTAGCTGCCATCCCCATCCTTCCTAACCTTGTTAAAACGTCAGCTTTTCTGCATTTCAAGAATTGAAATCCAAACGGTGTACAATGTATTTCCGAGCAGACGGCTGCGTGCTGCCCTGTTTGCAGAACGGCAGATCAGAATGGAGCTTTTCCCTCTGGTCTTTAGCTTTATCCAACCCTCGAGGCGATCATTTCCCAAACAGCAAGCAACAAACCAAACCAAAATAAGAAAAAATAAAAAATAAAATAAAATAAAGACATCACGGATGAGATCTGCCCACCACCAGCCTTCTATTCCCATCAGCACAGACCCACTGCTGACAAATTCGAATAGTGCAAACCAGTTAGGGGCAGTGGGAATGTGCTGAAAAAGATTCAGGTCTGCCCACGTGTTGCATTTTAAGACCCTCGGAGCTTCTGTCTGCTGGAGTTTTTACCCCTGTCCCCTACCTCCCCCCCCCCAGGAGAACTGGGAAGAGGAAAAGGGGGAGCACGTCTACGTTTGACGTAATGCTCCCCACCTTCAGAGCAGCCCCACCTGCCCTGCCGTCCATCTGTGACATCTGGGCTCAGAAGCAGAAGCTCCTCGCTGAGGTTCTGGACTGTGAGACGGAGTTAAGGTCAAAAGGTGGAAGAGAACAAAGGCTCCAATGCCCCAACGTGGAGCTCAACGACGCCCTGCTGCTTGGAGATCCCCTCTCTCAGTGCCTAAGACACATGGAAGAACGCCGTTCCTTGGGGTTGGTTTTCTGTTGGTTTGGTTGTTTTTTTTTGCCAGACTGGAACGATTTGTGGTGGGGAAAGGATGCACCACGACTGGGGCTGTCTTTTCCATGCACACACGTTTCTGTTGCTCAGCTTGGGATGTAAGAGCCAGATTCAACGCGCCTTCAGGAGATGGCTGAGATGGGGCAACACCGACCACAGCCCCTTTCTGCAAGCTGAACGTCGGGCTTTGGACATCTTGGAAGGAAAGAGAGGCAGCACGAGGAGCAGGAATGTGCTTTTCACGCCCCAAGCACAGCACTGACCCACCAGCAGCTGCGTGGCCGCGTCCTTTACAGCAGCAGCAGCTTGCAGCTCTCCAAACACCACTCCTCACCCATCGCTCCACCACCCGTGTCCTTCAGGCTGGGGCTGCATCCAGCTGAGGTGTAAAGGGCATCGTGTGACGGCTCCCAAGAGCATCCCAAGGGCCCAGCAGGCGAGAAATCACAGCTGTGGAACATCTTCACCTCCCCAGCGGGAAGGAGCAGACCACGTAGGTACCACCACAGCATCCCCAGGTGGGTCCCATCCAGCGCTGCCTCCGAGGGCACCTCCACGTCCCCCTGCACTGCACACCAGTGTCCTCAGCAGGGGGTGCCCCCCCCTCCACCAAGCTCTCGGCTGAGGATGCTCCGTGCTCTCAGTGCACACACAGAACACGCTCCTGTGCTCACAGCAGTTGGTGGCACGCGGTGTTAACTCTCCTCTACTCTGTCTGGAAACACGGCTTCGCTCTGAGCACGTGGGGCACGGAGCAGCGTGGCAAAGCTGCCCCCCACCTTTGCTCCTCCCGATAGCAGGGCTTGGTCGGAGACGGACTGTCTTCCAAAGCACCTCTTGGCATTGCCCAGCAGCAGGAAATGCTTCTCGGAAGCCTTGTGCTCATTGCTCTAACAGTACCAAAGCTGCTGACTGTGGAAAGCCACATTCCCCCTGGCTGAGAGGAGTTGGCTGCTGGTTTGTTCAGGGTGAGAGGGAGCTTAGCCCTTGTCTTGGGTAAGAGGAGCTCCCTTTTCATTCATGTTCTTTAAAACAAAACAAAACAAAACAGAAAGAGAAACGCAGAGGAGACAGGTATCAGTACCGGAGGGGCAGAAACAGAGAGCTCTGCTGTGCTGCCAAGCTGGCCCTGCTCACTGCCACCTCTCAGGCTCCACCGAGAGCAACAGACACACCAGGGAGCCCTAGGCTTCCCCTCTGCCTGCTCCTAAGCGTCTCCAACCAGAGCTGGACCTTCTGGATACAAACACAGGCCAGGGGAGGGATGGAGGAATCGCAAAAGTATCGCCCCATCCCTCGATGCTGGTGTCGCAGTACAAGGATGCTTTACAGAGAGGCTGCAGACCTCTCCTCTCGGGTGCAAGACTCCTTTCTAAACCCTGGGTCTCAGCACGCAGTCACCTCTGCGTTCCGTCACGAGGGCTGGCACTGCAAAGGGCACTCTACCCATCCACGTCTCAGCAAGGGTGCCCTGGGAGCCTCTGTGCCCACCTACAGCCCTGCCTTGGGCCTACAGAAGTCCTTGGAGGTCTGTCAGGACGTGACAGTGGCTACTCAGAAGGGCACAAAGCCAGCGGAGCGCCCCGGCTCTGCTGCCCACGTGGTGCCCTGGTTTCCCCCACGTTAAGTGCGGCGCCCGGCGCCCGGCACCAGGAGCTCAGTGGGGTTTAGGGGAGCGCTAGCAGCATACGCACCGTTCCTTTTGGGGTGTTGCCATCAGCCTGCAGGTTGAGAAACGGGTTAGTCTGTGCTGTGAGGACGGGAGGGATGCCTGTCCCCGAAGCCATGAGGCTGCTCCCAGGAGCGCTGAGCGGTGGGGTGGCCTGTGGTGGAGCCAGGAGGGCATTGCTAGGGTTGAGCTGCTGGGGGGAGAGGGAGGCCATGAGGGAGCTGCTGTTGGGGGGCTGCTGGGGGGCCGAGGTCATCGGGGCGCTGGTGCTGGAGTGCAGGAGGGGGGTGGAGGTGGCTGCCAGGAGGCTGCTCATGGATAGCTGGGATGAGCTCGTCATCTGCAGCCGCTGCAGCTCCCTCTTCTGCTGGATTTGCTGCATCATCTGGAACACCAGGGCCTGCTGCTCCTGCGGGGAAAGGCGAGGAGAGTCATCAAAGGAGGGACAAAAGGCTCGAGAAGGGGTGACACCTAAGGCAAAGAAGCCAGGCGCCTTATCAGTACGCTGTGGATGGGGATAAGGCAAAAGTCCCCTTCATCACATCCCTACAGGTACAGAGAGGAACCATTTGTTTTACTCGTTAGCATCCTGTGCTCATCGCCTCTCTGACCCTATCTGTTCCTGAAGTGTGGACACGCATATCCACTAAGTGCTTTCCAAATAACCAATCCGTGGATTTTAAATCTGCTGCACTCCTTACCCTGGATTTCTATGCTGGGTGCTGCTTTCCCCTCCCAGCCCGTTCTGCTGCAGCCCAGGGTGGATCTGAATGAGCCAGGCTCTGGGGACGAGGACCACAGCACACCTGAGCCTGGAGGGATGCCCTGGCACCCAACTGAACTGCAGAAGTCACTATAGCAACCATCGACCAATGCGGCGCGCTGAGAGCTGACTTTGTTTCCATGCCCATAGGGATGCAGCTGATGACACGGTGACATCAGCCGCTGCAAAGAGAAGCCTTTGGAAATTTGCTTTTTCCCTGGTTATAAATAGCCTGACCCAGAAATCTGTGCAAAGCAGGGGGCCGAGTTCATGGGAGACATAAATGAGCAGAGCTTCATTGACGGGAGCTGTCAGCGCTCCTGTGTGACCGCACGGCAGCGAGGGGCAGCATGGAGTGGCTGCAGGGTGAGCGAATGCAGCTCTCAAACACTCCAGGTTCTGTTCACCATCCGTCTGTGCAGCCTTCCCACGGCTGCCTGCTGCTGTTTCCCCCAAGGAGGATGGGGTCGGACCCTCAGAGCAGCTGCCCAGCCCTCCTCCTGACCCCACATCCAGTTCTCCATGTCAGTGTGCCCAGGCACGGCTCGCCTGCCTCACAGCTAAGCAGTTCCTTGGTGTATCTGCAGCAGGAGCAGACACGGTTTGCATTCACTCGGCAGGAGGAGGTAACAGTGCTCCTGCTTTCACCTTGGCTTAGCTTTGCTGTGCTCTCACACCCTCAGGGTGTGGGAAACACAGATGAAACTTTTCTCCTTTGTACAACAAAGCCCACACCCCTATCTGCCCCCTCCACACCTTCCTGCCTGCAGCTTTCCTCCTCGCTCCACCCGCAGCAGCACCAAGATGGGGAGAACGCACACGGCCGCAAGGGAGGCTCGGCTGCAGGAGGGAGCAACGCTTCCCATCCCAGCTCCAGGGCCTTCCCCATTAAAAAGTTCATCAGACAGAAGGTGCCAGCAGGCACGCTTACCGGATTAAGCGGTTGAGAAGTCAGGAGCTGCTGGAGCTGCTGGAGCTGCTGCTCGTGTTGGTGCAAGACGTGCCGCTGCTGCTCCGTCAGGGGACTCAGGCTCGGCATGCTGCAAGGGAGCGGAGCGGCCAGCATCAGCGCAGCCCGCCTTGGCCCTGCGTGTGCAAGGATCCCTCCCTCCCTCCCGGTGCTAAACCTCTGCTGGAAAGGGCCCGGCTGTCCCCGCGAGCTCCCCGTCCTCACCTGCTCAGGCTGGTGGAGAGCTGCAAGGTCGGAGGGCCGCTCGCCTGCGTCAGCGCGCTTGGAGGCTGGGCGGCCTGAGCTCCGTTCAGATTCCCCAGGATCCCGTTGATGGGCATCTGCTGACCTCCTGCCACGGTCCCCATCAGGCCGTCCACCATGGGCACCGTGGAGAGGCTGTGGCTGGCAGTGGTGCCACCCCCCAGCCCGCTGCCTGCCACCCTGGCCAGGCCATTCACCTGCTGCACCCCGGGAAGGGGTAGCGAGGCAGGACTCTGCTGCAGCATGGGCAGGGGTGGAGGAGTGCTGTGGAAGGACAGGGAAGAGCTGCTCCTGCTGGGGCAACCTGAATGAGGGTCCTGGGGGAGAAACGGACATAAGAGCATCGGACTGGGGCAGCTTGTGAAAGGTTGGCTCAGCTCTGGGGGGGATGGAGCTGGAGGTGGGAAGGGGGCTGTGAGTGCAAGTGCAGGCGTATGCTCAGAGAGGTCCCAGAACTCAGATGTGCTTTGCAGGATCTCTAACAGCGTGGCTGGAATAGCCTGGAAGCACTCTCACCTCTCGCCTGCAGGCTCAGCAACCCTCAGCACTGAGAATGAGCAACTCCAGAGAAAGAAGCCTGGTTTCTGGGCCTCGGCTACGAGGCTTTGTGAGCTGGACACCAAGTCAGAGCACTGGCACTGCACTGCTCTGCTCCCTCCCCAGTCCCTTCCCAGCTGGCTGGGGGACGTGTGACCCCCGTGTACCTCAGAGGAAGTGGAGAGCGAGTTCTCAATCCCAAAGCTGTTCTTGCAGGGGGGGCTCTTGCTGATGCTCAGGGAATCATTGTTGCACACTATAAGGAGGAAAGAAGTGAGAACAGAGAGTCAGGGGTGGAGCCTGACGTTGCCACAGCAATGGCTCTGCCACCAGTGGCTGCAGCCACATAAATGGGTCAGATCCTCCCTGCCTCGACCCACCCCTGCCCACCCCAGGACTTCCTATAAGGGGGCACAGAGCGATGCTTCCCACCGCCCCTCACCGTTGCTGGGCAGGATGTAATGGGTTTGGCTGCCAGGCCCGTTGCTGCTGGTCACCACCGGGAAAGGGACAGAGAGCTGGACGTTGAGGAGCTGCAAACGTTCCTTCTTGGCTGTCAGCGTCATGATCTGCTCCTGGAGCCGCTGGTTCTCCTTCTGCAGCGAGTGCAGAGCTTTGAGCATCTCTACAACTGCAATGGAACGACACAGGGGGAGGAGGGATGGAATCCGGGGAGGAGATGGGGGGACAGAGGGGAGAGGAGAAGGGGGAGCACACAGGGGTGCTGCAATTAGAGCACAGCGAGGGAAGGTCGGCCCTCAGAACGCAGCCCCACTGCCAGCTCCTCCCCACACCACAGGTCAGTGCTTCATCCCCCAGCCTGGCTCCGTTTTTTAAGGGCAAAACCCCCCCAAAACTCACCCAAGGATCGCTCCTCCCGCAGCCCCTTCCCCCCCCCCCCCCCCACAGTGACTCACTGTTAACGCCAGCTTCCCCATTGCCCTGCTTCTCCAGCAGCTGCTCGATGTTGGGGGTGGCCTGGGGGACATTTTCCAGCTGCCCGCTGCTGCTACAGGACACCGTCTGGTCAAAGAGGGTCGGCAGGCTGCTGATGGGGGACCTGCGGGGGGGGGGGGGGGGGGGGGGGGGAATGCAGTCAGAACCCCTCATCTGCACCGCGCTCCTCCCCTCCCTTCTCCCCGCAGCTCTTCCACACCCCTCCCAGCTCTGCTCTTCTCATCCCTTCTTCAGGAGCAGATCCCTCGTTTCTACCTGCCCAGCTGCCGGAGCGGCCCCACGCCTTCCCCAGGAGGAGGACACGAGCCTTCCTTCCCCACCCCGTCTAACCCACCTCCCCCCGCCCCCATCTCCTCCACGGCTCCCGGAGCACCCGAAGCTCACTCACATGGAAGAGAGACTCTCCTGGGGCGAAGTCCCTCGGCAGCCGAAACTGCAGTCCTCCAGGTCGGGCTCTGGATGGGGAGAAGCACAGAGAGGCACCCCGTTCATAAGCGCTCGGTGCTGCAGGTGCCCGCAGCCGGGCTGTCCCCGCTAGATGGGAGCACCGAGCAGCCCGGCCGAACCTTTGCGTCACGCAGAGCCCGCAAAGCCCCCGCCCCCGGGGGGAGGCGACGGAGGAGGGGCCGCGTGTCCCCGAGTGTCACCCAAGGAAGGTCACGGCTGGGTGCTGCCCGGTTGTCCGGGTAGAAGGAAGGCTGTGATCACCGAGCTGAGGATGCTCGCTTTGCTGAGGACGATTCGCGGGCACGGATACGCTCGGCTCTCTGAGCCTCCAGCATCCCTGCCCCAAGCCGGCTGCGCTCCTCCAGCCTTTCCACATCATACAGGACGGCTCCCGTTGGAAGTGGCCTTAAAGATCATTTAGTTCCAACCCCTGCCCTAATCGGGCTGCCCCCAACCCACCCCAGTTCAGGCTGCCTAGAGCCTCCCCCTCAGTGATGGGGCACCAACAGCTCTTTGGCAGTCTGTTCCAGTGCCCCACTCCCCTATGATGCTGCTGTGCTCGTGTGTGAGACATCTCCTATCCAAACAGTCACCGAGAACGAGGAGGATTTATCTGCTGTTTGCAGCCCCTCAGCACATGCTAGTGTTGCTCTGGGCAACCCAGGTGTAGTGGGGGCAGCCCACCCCGACGCCTGGCTGCCCCTCCTCTTCCTCACACAAGAAGAGATGTTTCTCATGTGCAGGAATCCAGGAAGTCTCCCGCAGGGAGCACTGCAAAGCACTGTGATTTACACCACCATGCCCCGAGCGGGGCATTGGTTACCAGCAATACAAGAGCAAGGCTTGTAGGAATGAGAGCAGCCCTCAGCCCCTCGCCCATATGGTGGTGCTTTCTCAGCCACCAACTACACCTGGTCAGCCCACATGGGGAGAAGCCACTGCAGCGATGTGCTGGTGTAAGGACACATGGAAACAAGGCCAACAAGGCTGGATTTAGGGGGTGCCACGAAGCACGGAGCCTTCCTCAGCTCCTGGGAGCAGTCCCACCACAGCAGTTCATCTCAGTATCATTTTCACCCCTAAACCCTTCAGAACACATCCACATCCCATGGCATGCAGCTGTGCCACAACAGGTTTAACATGCAAGCAGACCAGCACTCAGCCAAGCTCTGCCTGTCTGCTTGTTGCTGCCTTGTTTTCCTGCAGCCGTGTCCATACATGTGATTCTGAAGCTCCACGCTCAGCTATCTCCTGGCCAACACCATTCTGTTGGCTGCAAGTCTGGGAGATAACTGAGTTATCAAACAGAGGCAGCCCTTTGCAGGGCAACAAGGATGAAAAAGAGGCTCTGAAACAGCCACGGGAGATAAATGCATTTGGGCTGTCATCGTGGTGAGGCAGGATCCAGGACAAGCAGTGGGTGGATGAACCAGACAGGAGCTGAGGGAGTGGGAAGATAGGAATCAGACTTTTTGCATTGCCAAAGGCACTCTGGTATCAACCTGCATCAGGGATAACAGTTTTTTCGGTTCCTCCATCTGTAAGACAGGATAACACCGTTTTCCTACATCACATTAAAGTTGTGAAGGACTCGAATATCAGGGCAATGAAAGCTATGTCTGCAGGGGATCTGTCTACACGGACACTCCCAGGAAAGGTAATCTGTATGAAAGACAAGGCAGGAACACTTAAAACGTCACAGCCACCTTGTTAACGACTTGGGATTAAAGCAGTCGTCACAGTTTTAAGTGAAAATGGCTGCAAAGGAGGTTTAATGCATGTTAATTAATCCCACTGGAAAAAAAAAAAAGGGGGGAGAAAAGAAAAAAAAGAAAGGAATTTGGCTTAATGGCCTCCGACCCGGAGCCTCCGACTCTCTGCTGCTGCAGAGAGGAGATGGTGATAGAGAACCTTTAAAGGTGACAAACAACAGGAGCTGTTCTGAAGGCTGCCTGCAATCAGAAGGATCCCACTCAACCCAAAAGAGCAATTTTGGAGATGGAAACTGAGCAGGGACGGCTCTGCCTGCCTGCTTCATCCATCATCGGCCGCAGGGCTGGAGCTGAAGCCGGGCTGCTCAGCCTGAACCACAAGGCTGCTCCTGAAAGCCCATTTGCTTCCTCCTGCTGTCAGCACCTCGCCACAATGACGGCCCAGAGAAGTGGCAGCGGGGTCCTCTCCTCTCTCTCGCTGATGGCCACGGGGGAGGAATAACTCTTGGAATCATCCCCTTCCCTCCTCCATTCCAGGTGACCACTCCTGGCTCGCAGCTCCTGCAGCCCTGACTCCACTGGTGTCAGCAGCGCACTCATTGCACTTCCCATCGCACTCATGCAGACACAACACTGCCAGCAACACACAGAGACACGCAGACAACACACAGGCAGCTTCCAGAGGCTCACACGTGAACACACGCATTCCCTCGTGCTTTACATGCAGGCATGCACGCTGGTTAAGGCAAATAAGGGCACCGTGGATTAACCAGAGAGCTCAGGGTGATCCCTACTGAGCTCTGTGCCATTCCGAGCCCTCATTGCTCCACGTGATGCTGGGCAGAGCTTTACCTCCACGGGTCCAGCATCCAACATGCTGAGCTGCCAGCATTTCTGGGCTAAGCACGAGCGCTGCTAACTGCTTTTGCTGAACTACAGAGCAAACTGAAAGGCAGGCCGGTTCTGCTCGGAAAAAAAGAAGAAAAAAAAAGCCTTACGATGCTTCAAGTTTCCTGCTTATGAACCAGGCAGCTTTCCAAGAAAAATGGATTTGCCTTGGTGGGAAAAAATGAGCAGTTGTAAGCAATTCGGTGCTTGGCACGTTCGTGTTTGGAAGTGGAAAACAGCAGATTCTGCTGCATTTCATGAGAAAGCCAAAGGGGAAGAGCAGAAAGTAACTCAAAACAGGACTGGAAGATGAAAATTAAGAGTGTTTTAAACAACAACAAAAAGGCCCTTCAGAGGATTTTGAATATGCAAAAGCTCAGAACAGTTCTTCAGCTGGTTTGCCCAGCTTCAGTTGGTGAAAAGGCACCAAATCTTTGGGAAAAGGAAACCTTTGGGGTGTGGAAGGAGGGAAAGATTTCCATTCTTGCAATTCCAGGGACGCGCATCACAGAGCAGCAAATGTTGTTCCTACAGGGCTGGATGGGGCAAACAGGGGGAAAAGCCACCGTGCCTCTTTGCTGGCCCTGTATGCCACATCTGTGGGGTGGGAGCAAGCAGGGGGGGGGGGCAGATGGACAACTATGGATGCTGTTCTCTTGACTCCTCCAGGGAGATCCCTCCAGGAGCCCAGGCTCACATACCTTCTGATTCACGTACCTGCCCGGCTGCTTTCCGACTGATTTAAGAGCGGGTTGATGGACAGCCCAGATGTGAGGGGGCTTCCAAAAATATGCGAGGAGGGGAGGCTGAACGTGGAACCTGCCAGAGAGAACACCTGCATGGCAATAGGAGGTGGGAGGGTGGGGAGGGAGAGAAAGGAGGGAGGGAAAGGGAGAGATTACTTCTTGAACTCGGCTCGGTCATGAGAGAGAGTGTTAAAAATATCTCCCTGGAAGTCCCAGCAGACAGCTGAAAATCTTCCCAGCCCCATCTCCGTGCCAAGAGGTCTGAACAGGCTGAGTAACGCTGCAGCTGTAAAACTAACTCTCTCCTCCCTGTAAAACACCTCTCAGCACCAGCTCCCAACAAAGGACGGGGCTCCGTGCGCTGGCACGCGTGCAGCCCACCCAGCTGAGATGCCTCCCACTGAGCTCCCCGTGCCGGAGGGCTGGCACTGGTGGCGAGCAGCAGGGACACAGCACACATCTCTGCCACCTGAGCTGTGCTCCTCGTACTGGCAGTGGAGGTAATGAGCCATCGGGCTGCAATTCCTCTCGCCCCAAAGTGGCTGTAAGCATCCTCAGGGGGCCCTGGACACAGGGTTTGTTGTGTGCATTGAGTGATATTCTGAGCTGTAGCAACCATAGATTCAGGGTTATGCCGCTCCTGCAATCTTTCAGGTATAAAAACCCAACAGAACAGCGTAGTCTCCAGACTAAAGTAAATCAGACAAGGGAACTTTGTTGCTGTGATGCCAAACTGCCTGCAACTTTCTCCGTCTGCATCTTTTAAGTGATGCCAAAGGAAGGTGCAGCTGGCAGCTCCCTTCCAAAGCAAAGGAAGGGAAAAAGCAGCTCCTCTGTGCCCACAAACCAGCCCTGCTCAGTGCAGCGCCCTCCTGAACAACAGCCCACCCTGCTCCCAGGGCTCTTACCTGCGTGGTGGAGACGGAGGAGGAGGAGGAGGTGGGGATGGTGCTCGCGAAAGGAGAGCGGTTGAGCGGCGGGATGGAAGCGGTGCCCTGGTGTGCCAGAAGGCTGGAGGAGAGGGGTGTGCTGCAAACAGCGCGGAGCACTCCACCCCCGTGGGAAATAGGGTCCTTGTTACTGGTGTAGATCCCTGCGAGGGGAGGAAACGTGTTGGAGATGCAGGCTCCCAGCAGCAGCAAGGCCTGGGGGCTGCTGGTGCGCTGCAGGGCGCATCGCTGCAAGGGAGGGTGGCACTGCAGAAGGACCACGTGGGATGAACACCTCAGCATCTCGTGGCCCAGAGCAATGACAGCCCTGTCAAAAGGTGTCAAAGTTTTCCAGCCTTCCCTCCTCGTTTGCCTGCTGCACCCCGATACAGTCGGACTGAGAAACAGCAGCGCTGAGTGACTCACCAAAGCCACACGTGGGTGACAGAAGGGAGACCCACAGCCAAGGGACAGCACTGGTGCCGAGTTAACCTGATCCCTTCCACTGCCCTCGGGGACTGAGGAGGGAGAGGGACAGAGGAACGGGTTAGGGGGGACGAGGAGGGACGAGGAAGGAGCTGCTGCACAGGCACACAGCCCAGCGCTGGTTCTGCCAACATCCCTCTGCAGAAGAATGGGAGAATGAGCAGGGAGAGGGCAGGCCCTGGCAGCCTCTTCCTCTCTGAAACGTTCCTTTGTTGTTCCAGGGGGAGAGGGGAAAAAAAAAAAAGAAAAAGATTGGCCTCAGGTTGTAATGGTGGAGGAGGCTGCAATGATTCTTGCAGTTCCTCTCCGCTCTCAGGCAATGCAAACAAATGGGCCGCAGCTCCTGGGTGCATGCAGCAGAATTAAACCCACCCCTCACCCCCCCCCCCTTTGCAATCTGACCTAAATTGGAGCATCTGCAAACAACCCACAATAGACCGATGACAAGTTCTGCTGCCAGAACAGTGTCAAACCTCAGCCTGGAGCTGCAGGCCCCTCCCCTGCATGCTGCCTTAACCCCTTCCTGCCGCACATCCCACTGCTCTCACCCTTCCCAAGCCAGATCAGGGCTCAGGATTTGGCTTCCCAGGCCAGGGGCAGCAGACAGCCTCTCTGCAGCGTTAATGGTGTGCCCATCCTCCAACCCTATGTGGATGTGGCCACAGCAGGATGAAAGGTTTTGCTTTTTAAAGAAGGGTTAAGCTTGAACCACTCCTGAGAATCCCTCATTTGGGGTCAGATGGCGGTTGCTCCAATTTGGCCTGGGAATATCCCTGTCTGCATCGCTTTAGAAAGGAAGCTTTGACTCGCTGAGGTTTTCCAGCACTTGAGCAAGACAGGCTTGAAATGAGCCCAGTTCCAACAAGCATGCAGATGAAGATGGGAACCATGGGGACCAGGATGGGAACAGAAGACTGGAGGTGGGTTCTTAGAGCTCCTGGGAGTGATGGATGGGGACCGGACAGTGTGCAGAGGCAGGTTCAGGCACCAGACAGACGTGATGCTGAAGGGAGCAGGGCTGGGAGGAGCACACCTGGAGCCCTCGGGGGGAAACATACCTGAACTCAGCAGCGGGGACTCCAAGCTGAGGCTGGGCAGGTTCCCCGTGTGGCTGAAGGGCCGCGAAGAGTTGCTGATGCTGGAGCTGACGAGAGAACCTCCAGAGAACGGCGACGAGGATGTCGACGTGGACCCAGCCAGCTGGGCACCCAACATCTCTTTGCTTTTGCCCCCTTTTGGCCTGCCAGGCCCGTGCTTGTTTTTCTTGCTGCCTTTGTGCTTCTTTTCCTTCAGCACCTCTCCCTCTTCCATGCTGAGGGATGGCATACGCTTGTGGCTGCTGCTTGTGGCAGCGCTGCCTGTTGCTGAAGGGCCACCGATGGGGTTTGAGGCTTTGTAATCCACAGGGGAAGCATCGCGGCCCCTCGGCTGGCTCACAGCAGAGGTGGAAAAGCGCATGATGGACCCGAAGCCTGAGAAGATCACCTTCTGCTCAAAGATGTCCCCCTTCTGGCCTTCATACAGCGGGGAGCAGTGGGAAGACGAAGAGGAGGAGACGGGCTTGCGGTACTTCTCGTCGTCCTGCTCTAGCTTGGGGAACGCCATGAAATCCTGGGAGCATTGCAAGGAGCTGCAGGAGGTGCCTGGGGGAGGAAGAGGGGAAGCAGACATAAGAAGGCTTGTGGTGGCAATAACACAGCCCACGGTGCAATGAGAGCACGGTCAGAGGGCAGCTCCTTGGTCACAGGCTGCTCACCGAGCTGACGGACATCTCTGCCACCTTCCAGCCCTGCCCAGCTGCTCTGATGCTCTCTAGAAAGCACCAGAGGTGCACAGCAGCGGCTTCACCCCACCCAAACCCACATGTGTTTGCTCTCCTGCACCATCACCCTTCTTCCAGCCCCAACCAGAGTCCCAGGGGATGAAACCTGCAAGCAGTTCTGGCAACAGCTCAAAAAAATAATAATAATAAAAAAAATTTGAGCAGATGGGAGCCCTGTTAGGTATCAGCTCAAAGCTCTGGCGTATGGAGCTATCAGGTCGTGGCTCAGGCCTCTCCCCCAGCACTCTTTACAGCACTGCTGCAGACAGTCCCACCTATGGAGGCGGAGGCAGGTGCTGCCCACATTGCCTGAGCAAGCATCCCTTTCCTCCTCCCTCTGCTCAGACATCTGGATCTGCTTTCCCTTGCGGTGCAGAAGGCGCACGCAGGAGCAGGGCTGCAGCATCAGACACAGTTCTTCCCCCCATGCACAGAGCAAGGGGCAACGACACCTTCCCCCTTCTGCTCAAAGGGGTTAAAGTGCAATCAGTCACAAAGCACGGGCTCTGAACTGATGCCCTGCTGAACTGATACAGAGATACCAACGAGAATCAAAGCAAACCATTCCCCCCTTCACCCTCACTCCTCCTTCACCCCTTACCTGCAGGCTGGAAGGTGCTGCTGGAAGATGCAGAGCTGAACCCAGCCGAGTTCTTCCCGCTCCCCGTCTTCTTCCCCTTGTGGCTGCTGCCATGACTCGAGGACTTCTTGCCTTTCACCTCTGATCTCCCGACCTCTGAGGTCTCTTTGCTCCCCTCATGGTGGCTGGTGGAGCCCTGGCAAGCAGCAAACACGGAGGTGACTCACTTGAACCAGATGTGGCCACAGCAGGGGCTCTTTTTACCAATTTCCCCTTAAGAGAAGTAATTGCTCTCTCTGCCCGCAGAGCCAAGGCCAGCTCACGTTACCCCCAGGAGAACAACAGCATCCCTCTCTGCTGCTCCTTGGTGGCACCAGTCTTTGTAACTCGGGGATTACGCTCATCCCATCTAACTGCAGGAAATGAAACAGGGCACCGACAGCACAGGCACCGCAGCGAAGCACCCACGCTCAGAGGGTTGTTCGGTCCAAACACAATCTGAAACTGGCTGCAATTCAAATGCACGTCTCAGCTGCATCCCTCAGGTGTGCAGCTCTCTGCACCAGGTCACTCCACCTGCAAGAACCCGGCCGTCCTGCTGCTGCAATGGGAGTTGCAATGAGTTTCACACCACCTCTTGCTGCCGTTCCAGGGAGCTCCACCTCTACTGCAGCACATACTTTGCACAGCATCTGACCATCTAACAACAGATGCTGCCCAAACCCCCTGTAAGCCTGCAGGAGGCAGGGAAGCAGGGGGTGAAGAAGCCGGGCAGATGCTGGGAAATCCAGGAGCTTGGAGTGAGAGAGAGAGAAGTGTGGGAGCTGAGCAAGGGGGGGTGGAATGGATGGAAAACCAGATCCCTTGGGGCAGCCACACTGGGAGGTGACAGCTTCACCTTCACATCACTTCAAAGCCAAAAGAGCAGCAAAGATCACTTCTTGCAAGGTATTTCTGCAAGCAAATGGATATTAGATATTGCTCCAACCTGACGGCCACAGCCCCAAACGCAACAGCTGCACATCAGTGCAAACGCCCTTTATTTTGTAATGGCAGCAGATAGAAGGAAGACACAGAGAAGCACAATACCTTCCTGGCATTGATTCCAGGTGACCTCTTCTCGGGGAGAGCTAAAGCAAAAAGGGCTGGCGATGCTCCTTCAGTGCCCAGATAGAAATCTTTCCCCATTCCTCCCACATGGTTTCATCACTCTGCACAATGCAACAGCTGGCTGCCTAACGCGCACCAGATGTGCCGGGAATATGAAAGACAGGAGGAAGGGAGTGGTGGAAATTAGGGTGGGGGGAGAAGGGGGGAATCTGTATTTTCTCATCACAGACTCCTGGATGTAGGAGATTAAGCCTTCCTGATTTACGACCTCAGAGGGAGCACGAAAATCTTTCTGACTTTCCACATCTGCCTCGAGGGGGGGAAAGGAGAGAGGTGTCTGGGGGCTATGGGAAGTCACAGCAACGAGATGGCTCATGCCTCAGCACAAATGCAAAGCCCCGCATCCCCCCCCCCCAGCCCCATAAATTTACCTCTGTGGAGCTTCACACAAGGTGCACGAGGCCACAGAAGGGCAGAGGGAAACCGCATGAGAGGACATGTTCTAAATGGGGAGCGTCAGGAAGGGAGTGCAGGGCAAGCAGTGAATTACTGCAGGGTGGGAGGGGGGAAATCTGAGCTGGGGAATAAATCTTAATTGCAAAATTAAAGGCAAAAAAAAAAAAAAAAAGAAAAGAAAGAAAAGCAAAAGGAGGGGGAGAGAGGCTGAGGGGGCAGCGGTGAGGGCAGAAACCCACCTGCAGGGTTGCTTGGACCCACAGGCTGCTCTGATGGACCCCCCCCCCCACACACACACATTTGGGGAGCAGGATTTTATCACGTGTCCTGCACAGCATTTGCCAAACGGATCTGCATGGTGTCACCAGGAACCCCTCACCACACAGAGCCTGCGCACGGGGCAAGGGCCTGAGCCCCCAAATTCAATCCCTTCCCCCCCTCTGCGCCTCTGTTTCCTCTCTGCTTTGCCCCAAGGAGCTCTGTGTGGCACTGCAGCCTTCCAGGACACACACATGGATTGCCAAGTGCAACACAGCCGTGACCCAATGGGGAGTGCCAATATTAATAACAGTAACGAGGGCTGCCATCCCACCGCATCCCTAATGAAGGAGATCCTCCAGCTGGAGGAAGCAGGGCTGGAGAAAAGCCTGCATGCCAGCTGCTTGCATTGCATAGAAACAGAAGCCCCGACCTCTGCACCATCGCCTTTCCTCCAGCATTTACGTGTAGACACACCACTGGTTTGTGTGCTTTGCAAACAGGTGCGCAAGGGGGAGAGCATGCAGCAGAAGGGGGGGAACAACACCAAAAACCAACAGAGAAGCACAGAGGAAGCGAGAGCACCCTTTCAAAATGAGGCAGCAGTTCCATTTTGAGGAGCTGTTTTAAGCATCCGAGAGGGAAAAACATCAGCAGGACAAACCTGCTGCCCCAGCTGGAGGTGACAGGAGGGGAACTCCTGCTCCAGCCACACTGCACAGAGCACAGGCATGCATTCACCTCCTCCCCCCGGCACTCGCTGTCCCCGTGGGGCTGTACCTGTTTGCTGGCCTCTCTGTGACACTGTGCAGCACCCGAGCGCTCTTCATTCATTAATTTATTGATGGGAAATCAGAAGAGCATCTCTTTGCCTTCTGATTGGAGGGACGAGCTCCTAGAGGGAACCACTGACGGAAGGCAGAAGGGGGTGGGGGGAGGCTGTGCAGCGTGGAAAACGCAGAGCTGCTTTGCCCTGGATTAAACTACTGGCGAGGAGAAGCAGGGAGGATGCAAACAAGGAACAATGCACTGAGAGCAGGAGATGCGACGTGTTGGAGCAGCCACTCGGGCAGGCTGCGTGCATCAGCTGCCCTTCCAAACCAGATTGCTCAGCAGAGGTCAAACACATCTCTATTGGGAGCTCTGGGCTGCGGCGCCTGGATGAGCTGCAGCATCAGTGCCCGAGCTGCTCACAGCCAGCACCGTGCTGTGCTCCTTATAGGCACGATGGAAATGGGCTGAAGGCTGTATTTTTTGCTCCCTGATGCCTCTGGGAAATTCATACCCGTGTCAGGATGAGGGATGCTGAAAGGCTCTCTGCAAACATCTAATGCTGAGATGCACTTTGACGAGCAGAGGGGAACCAGAACAACCCCTGCCCCATCCCAGCTACTGGATCTGCCTGAGCAAGGCACGGTGCAGAGGTTCCCAACATCTGTCAGCTCCAGGCCTGCTGGCAGACCCCCAGAGCTTAAATCACACTGCAAAACCTCAGGACCACCCCCTCGACCTCCTCCGGCACCTGATGGCCGCGTGGGTGCGGGGAGCCCCCAGCATCCGCCACTTCCATTACAAACCCCAGAGAAAGCCAGATGTTGCAGCTCCAAACACGTAGCATGTGTGTGTGTGTCAACAAGTGATTGTGATGGCTGCAGCTGGCAGAAGGAGGCAGCTGGGGTGGCTTGCAAGCCTGCAGATTTACTGCAAGTGCAACAGAGAGCGGCAGGACGGCTCCCCAGGGGGGTTTGCAGGGGGAAGGTGAGGGCTTGCAGCGTGCTGCTTGCTGTGCCTGCTAACCCATGCAGCCAGCACGGAGCCCCAGCTACACAGACCGACCCTGAGAGCAGAGACTGCTGCTTGGCAGAGCAAAGGTTTGCTGGTGAGCCACTGTGCTGGCAAGAAACCCTCCTCTGCCCTGAGCTCACTCTGCGGATACCATCTTTCCAAGAGGCTTTTCCAAAGCATAACGAGCTGGCAGTGTTTTCGAAGGTTTGGATGGGCCACATGAAACAGCTAGAAACTAACACAGCCAGAGAGCATTACACAGAGGGGAGGGGTGGTTCCTGCCTGTCTCGTGCTCCCCCGAAAGTCTGCAGGAGCTGGAAGCAACCAGCACGACCATGAGTGACTGCACCTCACAGATCCATTCCTTGCAACCCATCCCACTGCAAAAGCATCCCCAAGCCCCTCCACGAGCACCTCGGGGGGGTTTTCATGCTCTCATGAGGATGCCCCAGGATCTGCCCCTCTCTGAGAGCAATGCCATCCACACTGCACAAGGACATAAGCTGGAGGCAGGGGAAGGGCTCAGAGGTGTCATGAAGAATCATTTCCACGCTGGAAGTTCACACTCTCAGTTTCCAGTGTACACGAGAGCTGAGGTCACTTCTGTGCTTCAGTGTGCTCACAGCCCAAAGCAGAGAGAGGCAGTGACAGCACAGGAGCTTGGCTGGGCCCAAGCAACAGATATGAATGGTATTCAGATTCCTAAAAGACACAGGGAAGCACTTCAGTGAGAGGTTCAGAACTCTGGCAGAAGCCAGAGGTGTAACACGACTGATTTCAAGAGGAAGACTGAAACCACATCAAAGCATCTTCACAGCTAAAGGGTTCAAGAGGGGAACACGGGGTGGACAACGCAGCAGGTGAGAATTGGAACGGAGAAATAAATCTGCATTGCAAAATTAAAGAAAGATGGGCAGCAGAGGCCAGGCTGCCTGAGGAAATGGGGAAGTGGGAATCCCCACTGCGCTCTTCTGCACTGTCACACCAGCAGTGCCAGCTTCTTGCTTGCTGCATGTACCCCAATGCACTCTGCTGGGGTGAGCAGTGCTATCCAAGACTTAAAGAAGGACAAAGATGGCTGGGGCTCCAAAGAGAAAACCTGTTTGGATGTATTGCATCAGCGTGTCTCAAGGTCTTACATAAGGACTGCCACGCTGCATTGGTGCAAGCATCCAGAAAGCCTCACCCAGGCTTTGCAGCATTGGATCCAGAGTGGGTGCTTTGGGTAGCAGAGTTTGAACAATGCTTTGAGAAACTTTGCACACACAAAAAAGAAATAAAAAAGCAAGGGAAATGCTCTCTGTTATGAGGAATTACAGTAACACCAAAATGCTGTCACTCAAGCACGGCTACAGTCATCAGGATCCCCTGCATTTTAGCTTCCAGAGTTGCAAGCTGCCTGTCAAACTGAGTTCACCTTTCCATCCTTGTTTGTAAAGTCTGGCAGGGCTTTGAGGAGACAGTGGGTAATTGTGTGCCACCACTTCAGCTGCCCAGAAGCCAGGTTTTGGATTCCAGTTTAGCTTGAAAATAATCTTCTTAGGCCGTCAGTTCCCAACAGCTCTGTTAACTGGGTGAATCTGCTGCTCCCCCAAAGCCAGAGCTGAGCTCCTTGATACGAGTACAGAGAAACCAGGAGTGACTGAAGCTCAGACTGAAGCTCAGACGCTATTTCTTCCTTCCATCCAGCTGTGTCTCCCAGCCTGAGGCCCCTTGAGACTGACTGTGCCATCTCAGCTCTCTCCTGCATCTCCTCCCTGCTCCAGGCTTGGCCCCACACAGCAAATCCTCTTCAATCCTACCCCAGAAGGACCCAGACTAACAAAGGAGAGCAGCTCCTCCCCTAAGCCTTGCCTCGTTTACCTACCTGCCTCAGCTGTTTACTGCGTGGCAGCAGGAAAGGCCAAATCATGGATATTTATCTGTTCTGCGAGAGCTTTAAATCTGAACATCTGCTGCAGAACAGGCGGGCGCTTGCAGCTCCATCACTGCACTGTCAGTGCTGACAGACACCCAGGCAGCTGCTGTGCCAAATCCCCGAGGTGGGAGCAGAGTGAGAACGAATCAGGAATCACAAACAACGGACAAAAAGCTCTTTCTCTGCCCCTCTGCATCCTCCGTCCCACCTCCTATAGGAGTGCGGGTTCCCCCTCCCCTCCCTCTCTCACCCTTTCCTGGGCTCAGTACCTTTTCTGCAGCGATGGGCACCGTGGGTGTTGGAAGGCTGGTGGGAGATTCTGGACGTTTTTTGTGCTTCTGTTTGGGTCTTTCTTTGTCCTTACGACTCTGCAAAAGAAATCAGAGAGCACTGGAAGGCTTATTTTTCCTCTGCTGAGAATAGCGGTTGTAAGGGAAAAGAAAGGAGGGTGTGTAGGGGTGGATTTACAACCATACATTCATATTCCTCTTTCCTTCCCCACCCATCCACTAGAGCCCAAAGTCCCTTCCCCCACATCCCAGCTTGGCAGTGTCCCACCATCTCTGCTCCAGCTGCAGCCAACATCTGGAGCGCAGAATATCAACAGAAGCCCCCGAATCAGTTCATGCTCTCGAGAAGATAGGGAAGGATTTAACAAGCTCTGCCTGATTCCAAGCAACCTGAGCTTTCCTTTTGCTATTTTCCCCAACTGGGGCTCTGTGCCCCTTAACCTCACTCTCTTACCTTCTTGGAAGGTTTCTCACATCCACCCTGTGCAGCCATTGGGAGGATCCTGACCTCAGCACACATTGCACGTGCACAGGTTAAGAGCTCACACAGCGGAGATGCCAACCCAGAGACCCTCCCCACCTCCCCACCTCCCCTCTCAGCAGAGAACGGCTGCTCTGGGCCCATCGAACTGCAGGCAGACTATTCAGGTTCATTCCTCCATCCTGCTTCTTTATCTCATCAAAATCCCTGAAAGATGGGACTCTTCAAATCACAAACCAAGGAAAAATCACGGGCTGAGGAACACCGAGTCCTGCCCACCCTGCTTCTATCATCTGGAGAATGGGCTCTAAGCAGGGTCCCACTCCCCCACATGCCTGTTTTACCCCAGGAGCAGAATCCTCACCTCAAGAATGTGTTCAGAACACAGCAATCACATGGGAGGGACTTTCCAGAAGACGGAGATTGCTTCCTCCTGCACTCAGAGCCTTGGGGCTACCATTGCCAGCACACTATGGCAGGGATGGGATGCAGCAGCAACCATTTGCATTCACTTGACAGCACACAGCAGAGTGCTGATGAGCTCAAGAAAGCTTTTCAATATCTGTATCTCATTCCACAACTTGGGAAGTGAGGGTGCATGGGATGAGAGAACTCCCAGCTCTCCAACATTCAGAAAGAGGAGCTGGGGACCCCAATCCCACCCGGATGAGTGCTCTCAAACCAGGACACACTGCAAGAGCCATGGAAACGAAGGCAGGAGCCGCACACCTCCTCACAACACAGAACTCATCCCCTCACTTTCAGACCCCCAGATGCATTTCAGCCTTGAAGGTGCAAGAGGGGGGGAATACAGCATGATGCTGTCAGTACCAGCCAGCCAGTGCTGGAATCATTTAACTTCACAGTCAGGATGGGACAAGAGAGGGCCAAACCACGGCTCTGATGCTGAGCCTACACACCTACACACAGCACGTGGGGAAGGAGAGGAAGGAACATCCTGCCTGCGAGCCATGAAACCTCCCACAATGTCACAGTGATGGTAACAGCCAAATTCACATCCTCCAGCTCCAAAATGCTGCCTGTCTCCTGGCTGAACAGCCTCCCCTCACTGCTGGTAAAGTCTGCAACAGCCAACTGAGCAGCGCTCTGCTTCTCTGTAGGAGTGCATACATATGTACGTATTCAGCAAGAGCCCTGCCTGCACAATAGGGACCAGATTTCTGGAACGCCTCAGTTCCCATTCAGATGCTTGAATAAACCATCACGTTCTCCAAAATAATAAACGCTGGACACGGAGCTCTTTTGAAGATCTGGTCCTCTCTCCATGTGCTGAGCAACTGCACACAAACTGCAGATCTGCCCTGCAGGGAGCAGCCTTCGTGCTCCGCCACTGCAGCCCTGTGAGGAGCAGAGCAATGCAGTGCCTCGTGTTAAATGGGCCTGGTAATTAGTGCCATGGCTCGGCAGGTGGGCAGAGCGAGGTGCTGGTGGGATGGTGATGCCCACAAAGGCAACGGGACAGGAACAGACTCGGTTCCTCCTGGCTGCATGCTCATATGCATTAAGGCAACCCAGGCCTCCCCCAGCAGCTGTGGGTTCCCTCCAGGAACTGGAAGGCTCCAAATACTTCCTGCCAGAACCACAGGGTGCAAAGAAGGGAGGGCAGGAGGAGCAGAGGGCAGCAGCACCATCTCCTGCCTCTCGAGCGCCTGCTCTGCACCCAGCTCTGCTGTGCCCTGCACTCCCCAGAGCTCCTCTGGAAACCTTTCCAGGAAACTTTCCAGACCTGCACAGCTATGCCATGAAGCAGAACCCATAGGGGGAGGAGGAGGAGGAGAAAAAGAGGATGCACCGTGTGCAGGAAACCTCTCACTGCCCACAGCCCATCTTTGCAAGCCAAAGCTGAGCCCTACCTTGCAGCTGCTGGGTGCTCCCTGCAGTAGGTGGGCATGCAGAGAGCACAAACCTGTATCCAGCAACAAACTTTGTGGAAAATAAGCTCTCCCCATGCAGGGCTGAGCAGCTGGAGCTTGGTATGTGGGCATGGGGCAGGGCAGGCCATAGTGGGAGGGGGGGGAGCACAGCCAAGCCAAGGCAATGCCAGCCACACAATCTCCCTTCGAGCTCAACCAGAAGAGAAGGAATGAAACAGGAGCTCTTGCTGCCAACAAGGGTTGTGCACTGTTCCTCCTGCTCCCCCCATTGCCGGCTCCCCTTCCCAGAGCCCCCTCTTCTAATCTGCTGGACACTGGCAATGGGATCATTAAAAGTAGATGAGGCAGGGAAGGAGGATGGACAGAGCCAGGAGCTGGGAAGAGCCAAGTGGGCTCTGCTGTTCCATTCCTCTTTCCCAGGCTCTCTGAACTCCCTGCCCAGAGGAAGAGGAGGAGGAGACCAGGCTCTGGGCTACAGCCATGGCAGCCGCAGTGAGGAGGAAGGCACTGGGCAGAGGGGCACCAAACCTCCTCCTATATCCCCCACCTGCACTGCAAACGGCCCCAGGAAGCAGTCAGGGATGCTATCAAACAAGGCCCCTCTGCTAAATTAGAGCAAACTGAGGTTCAGCACACCTTCCCAAGTGGAAAAAAGTGTTGGCTTTGCATTTCACTGCCTGCATGGAAGCAAAGCTCCAAGCGCTTCAGATGGGCCTCCATCACGAACCCAAAGGCAAACACAAAAATCCAATGGGTCTGGGGGCTGCAGAGAGGAGGAGGCAACATAACCACGGTCCTGGCTCCCACCCTGCAGTGAGGGAAGCAGTTTGGGAGCTCTCTGTGTGTCAGGACTGTGCACAACTGCTCCATCCCCAGCCCTGGGGCACAGCTGCAGGTGAGTTCCTTTGCTCCAATCTCTGCCTCTGCTTCCTGCATCACTGCAAGTCTCCAGGACAGGGATTTTCCCCACTCATAACCAGCTCCCACGTTCAGTCCCCTAATTTTGCTCATGGGTTCCAGGAGTTTGGTAAGAACAGCACTGGAGGAGCATCTCTGCTCATTAAGAGCAGCACTGGATGAGTGTCTCTGCTCCAGGAGTTTATGCCTTAATATCTTGCTGTGTTTCTGTGCTCCCATTCACTCCTGGTGGGACAAACTACATTCCATGGAGCATAGTCATTTATTTTTCTGTGCATTTCCAGCAGACAATATAGGTGACAGAACATCTGCACTTCATTCAACTCCAGCATTTTCTTGGTGTTCAGCTATTGTTTTGTTCCCTTCTTCCTTTCTATCTCTTTTTAAACAAACCCTGCAAAGGCTCCCACAGGGCAGAGCACACACATGGCACTACCAACCCCAAGGAAACAAATGGGGATCTTTTTTCTGACGTCTGGCATGTCCAAAGCTTGGAACTCTCTCATTTTCAGGACAGACTGAAATGCTGGAGTTGGTATCATTAGAGGGGCGGGGGATCTTGGTGCTGGCCTGCAGTCCCACAGCACAATCTTCCCTTGTCTTGCAGAGAACAAGATGCTTCACAAACACCAGGCTGCCTCCCAGCAGGGCTCAGGAGCCCAAAGCCCAGCTCTGTTGTCATGCTGAAGCCGAGGGGCTCAGTGTGGTGCTCCTCACTTCGTGCTCCTCTAAAGCCCAAGCGAGCAGCGCTGCTCTGCTCTGGGTGGGGGCACTGAACGCCATGCAGAGCACCTGCAGCCTGCAGCTCACACACTGTGCTGTGCAGTGAGCATTCAGCAGCGGTGCAGGATGCAACCTGACAGCCATCAGGTGGCAGGACTCAGGATAAAGCTGTTCTGCAGCAGCTCAGTGCAGCAGCTGCCCTGCAACGCGTGCGGTTAGATCACGCTCTGCATGTCATGCACTCCAAAACTCTGTGGGAAGCCTCAATTTGGGCTCAACCCCAATCTGGGCTCAGCTCCTTTTTGGGTTCAGCTCCTTTTTGCGCTCAGCCCCAATTTGGGCACCCCCATCCTCCCTTCCAAGCACCCTTACAACCCCCAGCCCTGCTGCTCTGCCCCTGCAGCCCCGCTCTGCTGCCTGCCCTCCCCATGGGGACGCAGACGATTCAACCCTGGCACTGCAGCTGCACAAAGCACTCCCAGCCCCACCGGGGCCTCACTACACCCACAGCAACAAGACGGACTCTGCATGCTTCGGAAGGAGCCCGGAGGCCAACAATAGTGCCAAGCAACACCAGGAAGCTATAAATAAAACCCCAGCCCTCCTGCTTTTGCTTCCCCCTGGCGCTGACCTGCTTTCCAAGCCGGCGAGCAGCGCCGCCCGCCCGACCCACCAGCCTGCACCCAGCCAGAGCTGTGCAAGCACACCAAAGCTCTGCCAGCCCCCAGCTTTGCACTGCCAGTTTTCATCCCAGCCCATCACCCAGCCCTGCCCTCCCCCCCCCCCAACTGCTCCTGCCTAAAAATAGTGCGTTCCAGAGCAGCGCTTCGCCCCGTGCCAACCTCCCAGCCCATGCACAGATGCTCTTTCTCCTTCCTCCTCCCCTCCCAGCAGCTGAGCACACACACGAGGAGTAAACACTCCCAATATGTTTGAGCCTTGTCACCAGTGGGAAATTTACTGACTCGGTGTCACTGGGTACGTGCAGACCTGGGAAGTGAGGCTTGCCTTGTTTGCACACATATCAGGTAGGTTTGGGCAAGCTTCCCAAGCACCTCAAGGGCACGGTGGGCAGTGTTTCAAGCTGGATATTGAAGGATAACCTCTGTAAATAAAAAGGGAGACGGCTTTCCTGCCCACACAGCTTATGGGCTCTCAGCTGAGCCTGCCAGCAGGGTGCCAGCAGGGATTCACCATGGCCACATGGCTTCTGAAAGCTTGGAAACTGGGCTGGGATCCACCAGGCTCCGGCCACACAACCCAAGGGCTGCTGCTGGATGTGGGTCACCGTGATTACCCACTCAGCATCATTTATTCATGCTGAGGATGCCTACTGCAACAAGGGGAGAGCACGCACATGAAAACAAGCAGGCAGCCCCACACTGAGGGCAGGGCTCAGAAAACCCACGCTGCCATTTCCATCGGGTCACCACATCACAACAGCGTAATTTGGCTTTTGACCACAGCAAAAAAACACGCAGAGGTCATTTGTTGCAATAATTCTGGGTTCTTCCAAACAAAAGCCACAGCCTGGCCCATGCAGGATTAAAAACTGACAGTACTGAATGCATTCCCTCCCGTGTTATTTCCACTGCGGGTTCTACATCCCTGTTTTGGGGTGCAAAGGGGGAAAGCCAGAGCTTCTGCTGGGATTCTGCCCTCTGTGCTCACTGCTGTTTCTCCTTGAAATACAAACCTTCATCACGTGGCTCAGCTGGTTAATTATGAACCCTGGCGTGCTGTTAACACGGCCTGTAACCTTGCAGCAGTTTTGATGAGTACACCTTAACCAGCACAGTTAAACAAACAACGCTGGCACTCATCAGATCTGGCACGCAGTGCTCTTCTAAACACTTGCTTAGCAAATGTAAGTTCTTTTCAGGGGTGGACTTGAAGCAGGTGGCACAAAGCACTGCCTTCGTCATAGGAAGTGGTGCTGCTGCTGGCAATTAAGCTGCTGGCCAAAGCGTAGTTTATTCATCAGTGCCCTAAAAGTTGGGATCAGGATAATGACCCCCAGTTTATCAAGCTCTTGTGTTTAACATCACAGCTCAAAGTACTCCCAAGGATCAGCTCTGCAGATGGAACCCAGAGCACGGCGTCAGCGTGCCGTAACACAGAGATGGGAAAGCTGTGCATTTCATGGCTGTGCTCTGCCAGGACACCTCTATAATCCAAACACACAACCTGGCTCTCCATTACAGAATCACAGAATTGTAGGGGTTGGAAGGGACCTCCAGAGATCCTCGTGTCCAACCTCCCTGCCAAAGCAGGTTCCCTGCAGCAGGTCGCACAGGTAGGCATCCATTCCCCATGCTCTACTTGCATGCACAAACATACTTTGTTCCCATCACAAAACACAGCCACGGTTCAGATCTCTTTGCAGAGCCTCCCTGAGGATCCATCCCCGCTCCCTGCGCTCTCTTCCCCTCCTCACCTCCATCGCTCTGCCTCAGGACTGAGAGCTCTGCACACACATCTCACCTTCTTTGGCCTTTCGTGGTGGGACACGTGCTTCTCCTGGGTGGGGGACGTGGACCTGCTCCTCCTCCCAGCAATGAAGGAGCTGCCTGCAGAGTGCCGTGAGGTCTTCTGGGGTCAGCGGGGAAGGGGAGTCACGGAAAGCAGGGGTGGGGGTCAGGAACAGAGAGAGGGAACAGTTTTATAGAGCCCAGCTTTCATTGAGCAATGAGAGAATGGTTCCCAACACGCGGGACTGAATTCGATCTGCATCAGATTCCCCTGCTCCTAACATGGAAACCACCATCCTGCAGGTCAGAGAAATGGAAGCAGCAGCGCTGCTTGGACAAATCAACCCCCCTGAGACACAGCATGCAGTCCTTGGTCTTGTGTGGGGCTGTGGGGAAGGCTGCCCAGGCTCTGGAATATTGCTGTTCATCCCAGATTTGAGCTGCATCACATCAAATACTGAGGGTACCTGCAGGGCAGGGGAGGGGGTCCTCCAGCTTGCAGAGGAAGCTCGAGACAGCAGTCAGTGTGTGATAGCACTGATAAGAAGGGAGGGAAGTGGGCAAAGCAGGCAACAAAGAGCCACAGAGACACACACTATGGAGAGGTCGGGTTTCCTTTTTGCTGGAGGGGGAGAGCAGGTGTCTGCTAAGGATGCCTCTCACTCCTGTAATTAATAGGGGAAATCCTTTGCCTCAAATACCCCTCAAATGACTCCACATCCCTTCTGGATTCTCCCTGTCCTACGGCAGAAGCTCGGGCTGTTCTGTCACACCTCTTGCTCAGGCTGCATGCTAACTCCCTGCTCTCCTTTCCCATCTCCTTGCACTTCAGCACTCTCCTTCTAAGAGAAAACATCCCTTGGACATCTTGGGATCACTTCTGCAGCCACACAGGTGAGATCAGGGAAGCCAAAAGCAGGATGAAGATAAAGCCCACTGGAAGGATGAGGAAACTCACCATCTTATTGAAGTGGTACTTGCAGTAGCCACAATACTTGACATTGTCAACTTCCAGGACTTCTTCCTCACACAAGAGGCCGGCCATCTGGGCACTGGAATACATGCAATCAGGAGGAGGATAGCAACAATTGCACACAGCTAGATGTCGTATCTCACAAATGGGCAAACAACAGTGCAGGATACCCAGGGAAGGTCGTGAATCCTCCCCTTCTGTTTGGCTAATAGTTTTTGGGGAAGCGGATGGGGAAGCGGAGTTCAGGCTGTTTAAAATCCATATTAAGACTGTTAAAATTGCCACTGCTTTTCTACCAAACTGCTGAGCTTTTCTTAAGGCAGCAGCAGCAGTTCCAGCAGAAGACACACAAGGAGGAAGGAATCTGAACAGAGCTGGGAATCCCCTCGTTGTGCTGATGGGCAATGCTGCTTCCAGGCTGCAGGGGTACATGAGGATATCAGCCCTTAATATCACATCATCTAGATGATACTGTGCTGGAAAAGGAACATTCCTGGCTCGTGACTCATCCCTTCTCTCCTTGGATTCCACACAGTCCTAGGGAAATCCCCAGCCCTCCTTCTCACCGGGGAAGGCTTTGCTGAAACCTCAGCCTTCCTGGGGAAGTTCCCCTTGCAAACAGAGCACGGATGAGATATCCCTCACACAGAACACACACGGGGGGGATTTGCCCCACGCCTTACACCACTGTGTGCTGCAGCCCCAAAGCCACAGCAGCAAAACCAGCAGCAGGGATTGATGCAGAGTGGATGCAGCTCACCAGGTGACATGGAAAGCTTGCCGACAGCCGTGCCGGTTGCACGCCATGCAGGCTCCAGAAGCTGCCTTGCTCTCCCTGCCCTGCTCCTCACAGATGTAGCAGGTCTGCAAAAAAAGGAAAAGGAAGCTCTCAGAGAGGCAGGCTGCTTTGCTCCCGCTGTTCTCCAGGAGGCAAAGCTTTCAGGAGCTCAGATCTCGTATCATCTCCCTCCCGTGACGGCAGCTGCGGTTGTTTCTCCGCGCCACGCACGCAACTCACGCATCCCTTCTTCAGCCCCAAACAACGAATGTATTTGATCAAAACAGGTTATTTGATCAAAATGAGCACACAGCTTGGAGGAGCTGGGAGGTCGTGCAGGTGGCCGCGTTGGGGGAGAGGAAAAGAGGGGATCAAACCTTGCTTGCAAGAAGGATTTGCTTCGGGAGTTCTTTTTAAAGAGATCTCGGTACCCAGAGGTTCAACAGGAGACACAGAGGACTAAAAGAAGCCACGAAGCAAGGCAGGGTGAGCATGCTTGGGGCAGGGAGGGAGCAAGGAGGGCTCACCTTGTTGAAGCGGTCGTGCGGAACGTACTGCAGGACGATGGGCTCCATGGTCAGCACGTTGGCAAACTGCACCTCGGGGATGTACAGAGCACACACAACGTGGGCCCAGCCTGGGGAAGCAAAGGCAGAGCTGTGGTAAACGTGCTGCAGCCCAGAAGAGCCCTCTGCTCACATAGGGCTGCAGTCAGGCACGGCAGGGAAAGGAGGAAGAGAACATTAGGAAGGAAGCCAACTTGAGTTAGATGTTAGATTTGAAACGGTGCTTGTTGTAACTTGGTTAGGAATCAGAGCCTTTGTGGGAGAAAGATAGGCAGGCACAAAGGAGAACGCAGAGGTTTCTTTGGGGAAAAGCACCGTGCAGCACTCAGTGCCCTTCAAAGCACCCTGAGGACTCATAACCCAGTGCTGCAGATCTAACCAGAGCCGTGGACAGCATCCCAGCAGAAAGTGATGCTGATGGGGGGAGTCTGACATGCAGTCCCACGCCAGCGGGAACAAAGCTCCCTTTATTGGCTGCTATCAGTGGCTGAAGAAGGCTCTTTTTCACCAAGCCAAGCGAGATTACAATCTGAAGCCACCAAGACACTTCCCAAATCAGATGTGTAAGCTGAAATTCCATCTGGTCGGGACAGAACTGAGAAAGCTTGAAGGTCAGGAGCCTTTGGGGGTTGATCCACGCTGGTACGCTGACTGCACTGACAGAAATCGGTTAGAATGAGGGTGGACTCACTCGGATGGGCAGAGCTGGGCTCTATGGTTACAGAACCACACAGCACTCAAAGCACTCAGGCTGTGTGCACACAGTGACACGTGTGTAACACCTGCTGTGCCTGCCTGCACAGACCTGCCCAAACCACACAATGACAGTAGGAAGATGCTATGCTATTACAAAGCAATCCCCCGACGTGGGGATGCCATTGCATCAAGGTTCTTCTAGCAGACACTACTGCAAAACACATGCAGGGCTCAGGGCTTCCTCTCTGCATATTATTCTCCATCAGAATAAAGACCTCCCTCAGCACTATCAGGGTGCATGGCAAGCAGGTATGGAAGCCTTTCTGAAAACTGATTTCTCAGGGCAGAATGCTCTCATCCTTTGGGCCTCCAGCTTCATCTTGCTGGTGATGCGGCTCAAAGGAGAGCTGCTGGGACCCCAGTGCCCTGCACAGAGCTACTCACCTCCGTTGTCAGTCCGTTTCAGGGCTCCATCTTTGTGGGGACACAGCTCACATCTCTTGAAATGAAGCAGAAACAACAAGTTTAATCTGAGCCCCCCGCCCAGGGCAAGGGGCTGGGAGAAGGGTGCTTGGTTTAGAATGTGCTTCTGAAAGACGGGGGCTGCTTTCAAGGAGAGGAAGTGGAAGAAGGGTTGAGAGTGGTGTGGGTACAAAAAGACACTGGGCTGTGTCAGACTGTGTGATATGGACACGTTTAAGCCCCAACCCGGGGGCCACAGGCAGCTCTTGACTTTCATGGGGCTTTTTAAAAAGAAGTTTTGGTCCTTGCGGTCGTGAAGCAAAACTGAAAACCGTGACTCAGAGAGCAGAAGGCAAATAAGCAGGAGCCATGATCTATCTTTGCCTCTTTCCTTTCTTCCTTTTTCTCTCGTTTTGCTTTATTTTTTTGTTCCAGCCAGTCTGATGACTGGGGCTGTTGTTCCATTTCCAACAGCTGGGCACTGGGAGCCATGGATTGCCCAGCACTGCTCACTGCTGCCTGCTCTGGATCCTCAGTTTCCATATGCAGGTGTGCACCGGGGAGGTTTGGGGGCACGCTGGCACACACAGGGGTCCCTCTCCCAGCCCTTCTCCTTCCCTAGCAGAAATACCAGATTTGTAAAAACAAAAAATAATAGCATGTCCCACAAATGTGGGCATCCTCACACACCCCCAAGGACCCCCCACAAGGGTGGGCATCCTCATATATCCTTGAAGACCTTCCATAGAGGTGGGCATCCTCATGGAGCTCAGTGCTCCTCCTGCTGACATTCAGGCACAAAACAGTGGGCCTGCAGTGCTGTGGGCAGCAGGGAGGCTCATCCCAGCTCTCAACTCCCCACAACGGCACAAATAAGAGATGAAGGGACGAAAACCAGTGCCCACCTCGCTTTCCCTGCAACTTTGCTTGGAATACACGGTTGCATTGCTGCTGCTTGGGTCCAGACTGACGGAGAGGCTCTCACAATTAGCATGGAAAGCCAAGACAGAAAAAACAACCGGGTGAACTGAGACACTGTAATAAGAAATTTGCACTTGAAAAGGCCCCTCCGCTCTCCCCTCCACCCCTCGGATCAAAGCGGCTCTCCCACCACGCGATTAGCAAAGCTCTGATTGTAACAAGAGGGGTTAACAGCTCCATCGGCCCCACACAGGACTTTTAATAGCCCTGCCTCTAAATGACAGCTAAAGCCTTCACATGATCCCTCACATGAGTGCCCTCTGGCCATCGCAGCTCACCGGGCTCGCCAGACAATTTGATTACAAAGTGGATGGGCCTCGAGCTGCTTACGGTAAGCACAAAGCATCGGCTGCATCCTTTAGGGACCCGCACATCTGAGCCGGGATGCGGGCAGGGATTAACGGTACCTCCTCCTTTCGCTCAACCTGTGCAGCCTCCGGGTTTTTTACTTCAATTCTTCGGGAAAAGAGCGGAGTTGGTTGATTAAAAGCAAGGTTGGAGCTCCTGACCCCCCCCTTCCCCCTCCTCCCCAGGGCTGTGGACTCAGGGACGGCGCCATGGGAGCATCCCACTGCGGTCCGGGCACTGAGCTCCTTCCAAAACCAAAGAGACGGACCTCCCCTAAAGCACAGACGCAGACACCGCAAAGTTCTCAAGGAGGGCAGCATCCTTTGCACCTTCCTATCTTGCTTTCAAAGCAGAAACGTCAATATTTAGCCAACGCACACGCTTGTGGTGGAACCTCAAAGCTGCTTACAAGCTGTATCTACGGAGGCAGACAGAGAAGAAAGACGCTGCTGTTTTGCAAAGGAGTTTGCAACGAAAGAAACACAAATCTCAATTCGTCCCGCTGCCGGGAGTGGGTTTTGCTCTCAGAAAGCAGCGTCCCTCTGAGAGCAGTGTGTGCAGGCAGGCAGCATTGCAGCAGAGATGCAGTGATACCCAGGGCAGCGCTGCACCACGGCACCGCAGCAGCACTGTGAGCATCGCCCGGGACCCGACTCATTTCCCTCACTCTGATCACACTACATCAAAGAAGATTCTTTTCATGCATTTAGCCATCTGCACATCTGTTGCTACGACTGGAAAGGTAAAAGATTTGGATGGGAAGTTGCCCCCAGCTCTGCTTTGGGAAGGAAGATGATCACCGCTCGATGATCGGAGCAGCAGGGCTGAAGGCTGCAGGATGGAAGGGCATGACTGAAGCCCACCAGTGTCCAACAGATTTCAGTGAGGGTGAGCTAAATGAGCAGCCACCCGTGGGGGTGATGTTTGTTTGACACCTTGGAGGCAGTTGGAAGTGCCTGAAGCACAAGAGGAAAGTGGGAACCCTTGCGATGAGCGCAGGTGAGGAGGAGCAGTGTGCACTACTATGGGTTGCATTGCTGCTCCACTGGGCTTCTCTTTACCTGGGAGAGGGAGGAGGAAGGAGGCTCACGAAACCCAAATTCCTTTCTGTGCTCTCCAACGATCTGCAGGATGTAAAGCTGCTCAGAGACACATTTGATCCTCTTTACTGCCACACATAAAAGCGGCGTCTCACAAAGGGAGGAGAGCTCAGGTCTGAGAGTCTGGTCTTGTTTACACTCCCGTTTCCAATGAGGAATGAGTTACTGTGATACAGAACACAGGGCACTATGTTCCCCATCCAGCCATCCTTGCCAAGTTCCTTGCCCATCCGTGGGGCAGATCACACTTCTGCCCTGCAGTGAGCAGAGCCCAGCGAGGATGGAGCACACATCTGTAGAGATCCCTCCACTGGCTTCACCCAAAAATGAGCTGAACCAGCTCAGAAGGCAGCGTGAGCATCCACCAGTGCTGACCATCCCAGCTGAGCTCTTCTGTGTTTGAGAAAGGCCACACTTTAATCTAAACCCACTCTGAAGGAAGCGAAGCAGGGAACTGTCTCACACTTAGGGCAGAGCAGAGGCAATGGCTCCAGTACAGCTGACAGATCTGCATCCAGGCCCCCAGCAGCAGCTGCTGCAGCCCCATCTGATGAGGGCTCACACGGGCAGGCACTGCAAGGAGCTGCTGTGCTATAACCCCACAGACCTCAGGGGCACGCCTGGCCCGATGGGTTCCGCTTCTCTGCCCCATCAGGATTAATTAAGAACATTTGCAAAGCGTTCCATGCAGCTAAATTGCTGCTTAGGCAGAAATGAAGCCCTGGTCCAGCATCCTGGCATTTCCTTCCTCGATGCAACAAATCCTTCATGCAGGAGACCATTGGCCACGCAGCAGTGTCTCAGGTGATGACAGCTCTCCACCACTGCAAAACTTTCTGAGGAGCTGCACACCAGAGCCACAGCCTTTTAAAGCACACCGTTACGCTCGAGGTCTCCACATTTTCCTGCTGTCAGTTTGCTCACGAGCTCCTTTGGCAGCGCTCCCACCGAAACGCCTTAGAGAACCCTCTGAGAGGATTCCTCCTATTGCACAAACAAGAAACGAAGGGAAAGATTTGGAAAGAGAATTGGGCTCTCGGGAAGGCGAGGGGTGAATTTCTGTGCTTAAAGTCAAGCTGTAGGGTATGGGCAGAGCTGGGATCCCTCGGGCAGGGCAGCGGCGTGAAGGGCCCCAATCTGCTCCCCATAGGAACACGTGGGTTCTGTACTCACCACCCTGGCGGCTCTCTCTTGAGATTCACATTTCCGACAGAACCACGGTCCAGTAGGAACCTGGACAATCCCATAGCAAGCTGCAAGGGAAGCAGAAACATTCATCTGACCACCTTTGAATGGACCAAATCGGGTCTCATCAGTCAGAAGTGGGTAACAGAACCAAGAATTACACTCGAGCAGCATTCTCCTCCCCTTCCTCATTTCCACACCCAACAACAGCAGGCAGCCCACAGTGAGAGGTCCAGCATGACACAGTGATGCAACGAGCTCACACCCAGAGTGAAGCATTCCAGTGAGAATCTGCCCTGAGTGGGAATGCAGCACTTCAGAGACCGGGACCAGTTCTGCCCAATGAACACAAATGGGGTCGATTCTTACCCCTTAACTTCGCAAGCATCGCCAGCCATCTGGATCTAACACTGAATCTAACACTGCCCCATAGATGGCTGCTAAGCACCCTCACCATAATTAACAGTAAGATACGATCTCAGCATGGTGAAGGGAAGAGCACCAAATTCGGGTATTCAGGAGCACCCCAGGGACAGGCTGTGCTAACTCCATCTCCCAACAAAACTGCTTCCTCACCCTGCTGCACCAGGCGCCCCTCTTGCTTTGCACACTATGGATTGTCTCAAAGGTTTCCCTCTGCAAGCTGCAGCTCCCACACCTCTAACATTCATCTCCTGGTCCCACAGGGCCGTGCTGCTTGAAGCACATCACCTTCTCCCTCTGTCTGCCCATGGATGCTCTCTGCTGAGGCCTTAAGGGAGCCTTGGTGAACCTGAGCACCGCACAGGTGGGTTTATAGCAACAGAGCTGGTAAAGATAGGGGTAAGAAACAAAGCTGTGTGTGTCCAGGTGGGGGAATTCTCCCAGGAAAGAGCAAATTCTATCTCCTGTATTCCACTTTCAGATGCGAGCTGGCAGTTGGAATGGAATCCCGGCCACTCGAGACATTTGAAACTAGGTTGGACAAAGCATCTGAAAATATCCTGCTGGAAGCAATCCGGTGTTGTCCCCGGGGAAAGGAGCAGCCACGACCCGCAGCAGCCTCTCTCCATCTCTCCAATGTCTTTTATTCTACTTCAGCCAGGAGAACGAACGCAACGCTGGAGTTAAACTGAGAGAGCCGACTGCAAGATGAGCCAAGGCACAGACACAAGGAAATAGAAACTACATGAAAGCAATGACAGAGGAGCCTGCCGAGGGTCCATCTTTAGCAACAGGCTCAGGGCCAACAGCAAGCACTCAGCTGGAGCCAGCGTGAGCTTCTGTGCCCGCTGCTTCCAAAAGGAAAACGGGGAAGAAAACAAGGAGAAAAGCAGGCTGTCAATAAGGCAGAGCTGAAAACGTCATCTGCAAATGTTCTTCTCGGAGATTTCGTTTCCAATTTTTGTTAAGGTCTTGAATTATTTCTTTTCTTTTTTTTTTTCTTGGCTGGAGGGATGTGGTAGCGTTGTCACACAAGCGGTACTGGTGGTTTTTAATTCAGCTCTATGCTGAGAGGGGGTTCCTCACTGAGCCCTGCTTTGGTTCTGCAGCTATTCAGGCGTCAAACACAGCGTGTGGCCATGGGGAAGGAGATGAGATGAACTCCCACAATGGTTTGCTTCTCTTTAGGAACCCGAAGCCCAGCAAAACACCGCAGTGCTGCTGTGCTTGGGGCGCAGACTGAAGGTGTTGCGAGCAGCCACAGCACACTGCTCTGCTCCCCATGAGCTGCTACATCCTAACTACACGGCTGTGCTTTCCAACCACACCAGCAGTGCTCTCCCAGGGGCTCTTCCAACACGCTCCAGCTCTACCAAATCAACACGACCTGCCTGCTGTTAGCAGCCAACACATCCATCTCCGTGGCCGTGGGGCCCAGAAGCACGCAGCCTCGCATGCCACAATTTGAAACCATTCCTGCCACCAAATCGAAGCGTCCAGATGAACCTCGGCAGCAGCACGTGGATGTCAGCATCCTTTACCTCCCTCCAAAAACAGCAGTGAATGAAACCACTCCCTCGCATGCAGTTCGATGAGAGATGGGAGGAATGGAAGAGCTGCACCACCGACATTCAGAAGCCAAACGTCCTTCCAGAGAGACCCCACACGGAGGCAACCAGGAGATGCTGAGCACCGACAGATTGCAGAGCAACCCTGACCGGCTTCGCTTCCTCTTTCATCCCCTCTCCCATCACCTGCTCTCAGCACAAGCACGGGAAAAAGGAGGAGAAAGCTCCACCTGCGGACCCCCGGAGCCGCGCCTGACGCGGGAGGCATTTCGTGCGGCCGGACAGCGGGGAGAGCGGCGCAGGAAGGGGTCGGGACACGGGGGGAGATGGATGGGATAATAATAGACGGCAACACGGACGCGCCAGATGAGACCAGGAACCTCGATGCTGTTCAAAACAAACCAGCCGGGCCGATCGCCGCTCCTCTCTGTCGGATTTAAAGACGCACAAACGCGCGCACGTCTCTATTTCCTGGGAGATGCGCGGAGGACAAACTTTCCGGTCCCATCGCGTGTGTTAGGGGCGTGCTCCGAGTCATTTAAAATGCAAATCGCGCTTATCTCGGGGAGGAGAAGGGCCGCTTCCTCCCTGCCCTCGGAGGAGGCGGCGGCTGCCGGGCCCGCGGCCGCCCCCGCGGGGTTACACGGGGCCATGCGCGGCCGCGGGGCACGGAGGGGCGGAGGGTCTGAACCCCCCCCTCCGCGCCGCGGTGTCCGACCCAAACCCCCCCATCCCACTCCGCCCCTCCCGGCCGTGCGGATCCCCCTTTCCCCCCCCCCCCCGCACCCCGCGGCAGGAAGCGGCCGGCGGCGGCTGTCGGCTCCCGGTACCGCGCAGAGCCCCGCACGCTGCGGGCCCCCCCCCATCCCCGCACCCAACCCCGGGGCGCAGCTGACGGTCGGTTCCGCTCCCCCCGCGCTGCTCCGCGGCGGAGGCGGCCCGTCGGCAACACCGTTATTTGGAACAATGGGGAGAAAACAAAGCCCCCCCCCTCGCTCCCCCCCCCCCTCGCCCCCGCTCCCCCGGCCTCCGGGGCTCCCGGCAGGGGAGGCGGCGGCCCCCGCTTCCCCCCCCCCCCCTCACCCCTCCGCCCCTCTCTGCCCCGCGGGCGCGATGCGGGGCCGCGCTCCTACCTTGGTGCACCGCCACATTGCAGCCGTGTCCATCGCAGTACACCAGCGGGTTCTCCGCCCAGCCCCGCTCATCAGAACAGACACAGCAGCCTCCCACCATCTCCTTCATACTTCCATGAGGGTTTCCTTTCCCCCCCCCCCCCCCCCTTCTCCTCCCTTTACGCACACACTCCTCCTCCCCGCTCCCCTCCCCGCCCGCCGCCTCCTTTCACACGGCCGCCCCACCGGGGGCGAGGGGTGCCCGGCCCCCCGTGGCGGCGGCGCGGCGGTGCGGAGCCGGGCGGTGCTCCGAGCTGGCCCGGGAGGAGGTGATGGGGGGGGGGGGGGGGGGGAACCCGGGGGCGGCGGCGTGCCCCCGCCCCGCGCCCGCCCGCACCCCGCACGTTCGCCCCGCGCCCATGCAACAACGTAGGGACACACGTACACACGTACACACACATACACACGCACGTACAGACATACACACGTACACACACACACATACACACACGGGGCCCCCCCAACTCCCCCCCCCATCCAGCAATCATGGCTGCGCCGCCCGCACGCTCCGGTAAAATCTGAGGTTCACGGATCGCAGGCTGAGTGGGTCGGGCGGGTTTCTGCGTGGATTCCCCCCCCCCCTCTCCTCCCTCCCAACCCCCGGTGCGCGCGTCCGCGTGGTGCCGTTCTGTTGGGTTCGGGTGGATTTGTGCGTTTTGCTTTTTTATTGTTTTGTTTGGGTGTTTATTGAATCCTTCTCCGGCTGCTTTACGCTTCTTTCTTCCTGTTTTTACACCCTTCCTCCTTTAGAGCAAACCGAGAAGGAATCCGAGCTCAGTCCGTGCAGCCCGTTGGGTTCCCCGGTCACCATGGATCGCTCCGTTGCGACCGTTCCCCAAATCCTATTATCTCCGCAATTCCTCTTTGACAGATTGGGGCTCCGCGAGCGCCACCGCCTGTCCTGCTCCCGAGGCTCCTCCCGGAGGAGTTTAACCCGTTGGCACCTGTTTGGTTGCGATTTTTTGCCGTGGAAGGAGAAGAAGAAAAAAAAAAAAGCCTTTCTGGAGGTTTATGCCCCGCAGGAAGAATGTCAGAAATCAGATGGAAACCAGTAAAAAGGATCCCAAAGCAAAGCCAGGGATGCTCCGTGGGATGGAACCTGCAGGTCCCCGCAGGATGTGCCGTGAGGGGCAAACAGCCCTTAGCCTGGGCACATCACCCCGAGCAAGGGGGGGGAATGAGGAAAACCCAAACTGACCCTTAGGGAAGAGGCCCTACAGGAGCCTGAAGGATCGCAGCGAGTGACTCCCACAGCTCCAGCAGGGGCAGCTGCACCCGGAGCCACCAAAGGACACAGAGCTGCCCGCGTCTCAGCACCTCTCACATGGGACCATGCTGTACCCACGGTTAAACGAAGCAGAAATGGCAAATCCTCGCCGTTTTTCTACAGACGTGGCATAAATCAGACCTGAAAAGTCATTCCTGGTGCCCAGCAGTGCCCTCAGATGCTGTCCCTGGGGCAGCCAGAGGCCCTTTGCTCACACAAACATGGCTCATCCCAACAACCAGCTGGAACACCTGGAGCACAACATCAGCGGTTCTGCTGCAAGCACAGCTCCATGGGAACCGTTCCTGGTTTCCAGGAGCTTCAATGAGCCCAGGAGCAGTGCCAGCATCTCCCAGGCACCAGCAGCCTTTCTCTTCTCGTTCCTCTCCTTCTCGGTAGGCTCGGAGGGGTCAGCAATGGTGTGGTTTCTTTATACAGAAAAAAATCTCATCAGAGAGCAGAGAGGAAACCCGTTCCAGCAGCCCCAATAATCACCACTTGAGCTCCTTTATGCTGCACCTGTTCAAGCATCACATCAAGGGGCTGGA